AATAGGACAAAGCAGTGTGTGTTTTGCTTTGTAGGTTATATCTCACATAAATTGAACAAAATAATGATGACAAACCACGCCGGAAAAGCTGAGATCCTGTTGCAAGCACGCCAACGGATATCTTGATGCAGGACAACAAATTGAATGCGACAAGAAAGTGTTAGGAAATGAATGTCGAGCACGACAGAGACAACGCGTGTTTTCCGACGTGTCATTCGAAGATGTTCGAAACAGAAACAACCTACAACCAAAAACTCTTTCAACATTCCCAAAAGGAACGTGTCCACTTTTGGAAATAGTTATCAAATGTGATGGCAGTAAGAACGTATGCGTTAAGGTCCAGGCGCGTAGGAAGGGTTTTGTTTGCCCGTTGCAAAATCGAATTTTCTTCCCGTTTCACCCATTTTTACTGTCGAAATGTGGCTTCTATCAGCGTCCCGATTTTGCTTTTAAAATCTCCATCCCGTCTCCATCGGCCAATCTGCAGCACGCACCCCCGTCTAGGCCACTGTAAAGGTCATTCCAGTCATGGATATCACAAGTAGGCCTAATAATCGTGGTCACATCCCGCGCAATGAAGGCACTGTCATAACCCTCAACAATAACCGTCTTGGGCGCCTACGTTTGGCAGATGTCAGCCTTTTTATCAATCAGGCATCTTGACTCAAATGTGCCGTATTCGTGGCTTCGGTCATGGAGTAATTGTAGCTTGAAGACATCCTCTATATAATTTTGGCTTGACTGCCCAGTGCCATGCAGGCTATAGACATTAACATTACGCCTCGACAGTGAACCATGGCAAATTGACTACGTGATGACAATTGATCGGCGCCATGGAATGTAAGTTGTCGATTCCCACATGCCCAGACGGCTAAGGTATTTCTGCCGTTGGCACAATATAACTCTGATCAAATGCATTTTCCTTTTAAATAAATGTCGTTTTTGTAAGCTGATTGAAATGGTATCTGAAAAACAAATAACCATTTTCGTTAAATAATCTTCCTCGTGATTTATTAAGATGATCAAACTTATAGCAACGTTTTTCCTATAGGAAAGAGAGGTGAACTGAACATTTTCTGTGTTCAAAAAAGCAAAAAGCATGTATTTTGGTAAATTTATGGGAGTCCTGCTTTTGAATTTTGTCTCAAACGCTGTTTAATCTTTATTCCGATTACACAATTTAACGCCTCGTGTTTAACTCAATCGTGTTTACTTTTTAAACGCTTCGTGGACGGTTCTTATAGGCACCCTAAACAACGTGTTTAAATTACAAACGCTTATGTTTTACAGTGTTTAAAAGTGGAATGAATGTTATGACATTGAATTTTTAAATACTGTAACAACATACTCCCGTTTATATGTAAACACGAGGCGTTTACAGTGTAAACACGAGGCGTTTACATGTAATCAGAATGTGTGTAATTTGTTTCCTGAAAGTTAAATTTCAGTTACAAACAGCTGCAACACTTCTCCCGGCTGTTTGAAACTCTGAGGCTTTGTTTTTGGTACATGGATAGCTGCATAATAAATCCGACTCGAATTGAGCCCCTTAAACGCGTTACAATGTTTAAAAACCAGTGGCGTAAATCTGTGCGGGCGAGTGGGGGGGGGGGGGGGGGGGGGATGGGGTAGCCAAAATCCACAAATTGCCCGACTGTGGAAATTCGAAGGGGGGGGGGGGGCTGGACACCACATTACACTGGGGGCGCTCTTCAGGATATAGGATGTATATCAATATGTATCGCGCTTAGGCCTACATCAAAACGGCGCATTTTAGAAGCTTTTGAACTTTGTTTCTCCACTTTTCAGTGCTATTGAATACATTTGGTTGTTGGGATGTTCGAAAAATACCTCGAAATCCGCATTTTTTTCGCATCACGAAAACATGGGGGGGGGATGATTCAATAGCCCTTCCCCCCTGGTCAAAAAGTGCGGGGGGATATATACCCCCCCCCCCCCCCCGATTTACGCCCCTGTTAAAGAGTGTTGCAAAAAGCGTTCATGAGTTTTAAACACTCGGTTTTACAGTGTAGTCTGGCTATGGCATGTTTTGTTTCTGCTTAAACTTACCCTGTAGACCGTGCAAAACTTCTCCGCGTGATATAGCTCGCTGGTGCAAAATAAGGCCAGGCCAGAAATATGTGGTACAAAGCGGACACATGGGGGCGCACAACATTTACAAGGTAATCACTGCAAATCGAATCCAAACTGCAATATAACAGGTATCGCATGTGTTGGATTTCTGTGAAATCTTACGGTCTCTCATTTCTAACCTGCACACGTTCTCCTTTCAACAACTAATTAATTTCACTAAGGCACGCGCAATACAACCCATGACTCCGCGTTTCATGGACACCAACTTGAACTTCACTACAACGGCACTGCTCGTGTGATCATGTGATCACAGGCGTCAACTATTGCCAGATGGTCCGATACGAACTGCAGAGCCTGACCGTCGGCGTCTTGAAAAGCGCCAACATTTGTCCGACCAGGCTTAATTAACGATTTGCAGCGTACGGGTTACCTGAGGAAAATCATGGCTTCGATCGTTCCTGACCCGGGCTGGTTTGGACACGACGCACGTGCATGTTTATTTACGCTTTATATTACCAGTGTAGCCCCATCAGTTGTCGAAGAACTGTTCTCCTTGTAGGGTGGTATGTAGCTAGGTGACATTATATTACCGTGTAACAGCTGAAGTGAATCGTGTAATTTTATCCCTGTATTGAAAAAAGAAAATGACCTCATCAAGGTACAATTGTATACCTCATCAAGGTACATTTGTAGCTGTTCGCACTATATATACACCCTGCGTTTAGATTGTATGTATTGCCGGTGGTTGCTCTCGGGAATTTATTTACATAATATGCAAATGACTTATAGGCACGGCAGTGTTCATAATTTAAAATATATTATATTTTCGTGAATACGACTTCCTATACCGTCCCTGGCTTTTTAATATCAATAACTTTGGAGGCAATTTTATTTGACACTATTTTATGTTATTATTCGAAGGTCGTACGTGGAGTAGCCTAATGGCGCAGTAGTCTTCACCTTTACCTAGGCGGCGTCCATCCACTGCAGGATGTAGCCCCGCCTCTGTCAGACCCCTCCAGGTTGTTTTTTTCCTTTGCTGTCCATGTCCATGCCCCCAACCAACTTTGTTATGTCATCTCTCCATCTTTTATGTGGTCTACCTCTAGATCTTTTTCCTGTTCTGGGTTGCCATTCTTTCTTATTGTCCATCTGTTGTCTGTCATCCTGGCTATATGTCCTGCCCATGTCCATTTCATTGTGTTGACATATTTGGCGATGTATTTTACTTTTTCAACCCCCCTGAATGTTTGATTGGGTATCCGGTCTTGTAGTTTAATTTAGGCCTATGGCATCTTTCTTATCATTGCTCTCTTGGTGGTCGACAATATTGTAGATTTGCTTGAAAACTGTCAATGTTAGGCATCCATAATTGTTGGAAGTATGCATTGGTCGAATACTCTCTTCTTCTAATCAATGATATTGGTAGTTTTCTGTCATGTAAGATTTCTTTATGTCTTCCGAATAGACCCCGTCCTGCCTTTATTCTTGTGAGTACCTCTTCTTCAGTTGTGTCTTGCATCTGTAGGGTTTGACCAAGGTATTTGTATTCCTTTACTTTTTCTATTATTTCACTCTCAATTTTGACATTGACTCGAGAATCAATCTTTGTCATTATGTTGTCTTTCCTATAAGCCCCAATCGGTTGCATTCTTGCAGCAGCTCAGCTGTCTTTTTAGGCTTTCAATGGAGTCTGACTATGGCCACATCATCAGCGAATCTAAGGTTCGATAGTGATTCTCCATTGATGTTGATTCCCTCCTCTTCCATCTCTGCTTTCTTGAAACTTCTTCAAGAGATGCGTTAATGAGTTTGGGGGACAATGTCGAACTGTACCTCTAGTATCTTGATCTCGGTTGATATTTCACTATCTACGTGAATTTTAGCTGCTGCATCTGTGTATATATCTTCCAGAATGTTGATGTATGTTTCGTTTATTCCTATATTTCATAATGATCTGAACATATGACCGGGTGTTCTATGGAATCGAAGGCTTTTTTCAAAGTCCACAAAGCCGATACATAATGGTAGATTGCATTTGTTCGTCTTCTCTATGATCTGGTTTATAGCTTGCAGTCGTCTTGGTTCAAGACTATAATAGTGGCTTGTACAACCGCCCAATTTAATTACACTGATGACCTTTCGTTTGCTATCATAGTATCAAATGGTATCGATTTTTATTTTTGAGTGGAGAAATCGTTTTTCAAAGTGGCGATGGGCTATGGACTACTTTGTCACCACCAGAGGGCGCTTTGCACTCCCACCACGCGGTAAGCGCACATCGTCATCGGATCATGGTTATTCAGCTATTCGATGTTTATTCATAAGAAAATAACAAAGACGTTACAACATTGCTATTACTCAGTCATGCATGTACATTAAAGCATTTCAAAGAACGGCTTTCGTCGAGTGGAATGAAATATCTGTGGAATGTATCATAAGTGTCAAATATCACAGTAGAAAGCAAGATCTGTGGTTCGAACCCATGTCCATTTTCATGGAATATTTTTGTTGGTTGGGATTAGAAGGGAAAACAGTACGAGAACTTAAGTGTCTGCGATCCACACAGCATGGTAAATATTCATGTTAGGGTGCGTGGTGTGATTGGTTAAAAAAACGATGTATGCTGCAAAAAACTAATAAAATAAAATACAATGTACACAACCGTTAACCAAACCTGAAATTGAAATTGTAAAAATGTGTATAGTTTTTTAAATGAAGCAACAATAATTACGATAAATTGGGATACACATTACACGTCTTACGACTTAAAAGTGTATTAGATGCCAGCTGTCTTGACAGCTAACACTTCCTCACGAAGAGATGTATCCATGATGTACCCTCCCTACGTATGACGCCTAGTTCCGTCACCTCAAGTAATGTTTGAGCACCACAAAGAGCAATAATTCCATTTAGGGTAAGAAAGGCATGAACAATTTATTTCGTTTCTCATTTTCAAATAAAATTCAGTTACAAATCGATTTCAAACATTGTTTGCCGCTAAAATCAGCACTGAGTTTTTAAAAGATTTAAAACATGAAAAAGGTTTTTACTTTTATGTATATTACCCGATGTCTAGTTCATAATATAATTGTTTTGTGATTGTCTGGAATAAACGGTTCTTTAAACACACGAATGAGTTTTTATACAGAAAATATATTACTCGTCATAGCAATGAACATTACAAACGAATCTATCATTCAAAATACATGACAAACAAGTAGCACGTGAACAAACGCGGCAGCACCTATTTTTTTTTACGATTCTAATTATTTTACGATTCATAATTCGAGCTGTAATGTACGCTGATAGAATTAAAATAAATTGAACTCCTATACATGGACTAAACTTAGGCATGGATGGCCGGGCTTGAAGCGACAATACCAAATCCAACCAAGCTAACTCATCTACCCATTTCGTGTTATGATATCCTGAACCACTGGCTTTTCCCCATGTATACAATGCTGTATAATTATTAGGATCATATAAAGTACATTTGACAGGAGGGTTCCAACTAGATTAAACTATTTCAGTTGAAGTTTTTACTGATTCCCTTCGCATCAAGTCGGCCTAATTATTACAGTTTTTGATCTTCGGAGTTGCGACCAGCACAAATCACTTCAAATTACACAATTACAGTGTCGAGTTCGCTGACTCCATGAGCTTCATTAGGCATTCGAATGATATTTCTCTCATTTGGAGAGTCTTGATCAATTACATGTTCACAATGTATTGGGTGATTTTTTTAACTTAATATTTAGGATAATATTTACAAGCAAAACCCCATAATTTAAAGAATTGTCATGTTGACCTTTTATGAAAATTATTTCATACAAATTATACAAATATTGATATTGATAAAAAAAAAATGGGGGTAACTAAAAATAAACATATTGGATAAAAGTCAGTGGTTGTTCATCAGATCAACTTATAATTTCAATATAGATGAAAATGTCTTACATTTGCTGAAATGAAACTGAATATGAGTTATCAAGTGTGGGAGAACAGTTCAACAAGCAATGCACATAGGTACTCGATGGCAAGCCAGGTTGGTACTGCTAACAAGTTTGATGCACTTCATAGAAATTACGAATTGCCAAAACATGATGCACTTGATTTATCTAAACATATTTTACAATTACAGAAATGCAGATAAACAAAGCGAACATATACTAAAGAAATCTACAAGCTTAAGATAACCGATCTATAGGTCACATCTACAAACCATGAACAGGAATATTCCAAATAAAATGTGTTTATTTTTCTACACATCCATCCTTGCGTCGAGTCTTGTAAAGAATGAAGGCTGCTACAATCCTCTCAGGATGTCATATCTTAGGCCTCCTCTGCACCATCTTTTTCGGCAACATCTCCATTGGTCTTTTGTCTTTTCAAAAACTCTTGTCCCTCCTAAGAGAAGAAACAAAACAAGTCCAATTATATGTAGAAGTCTTCTAAAAAATGAATTGTGCTGAACTTTATGAACATTGATTTACTGTTTCTCCATTCTTAAACCTACATGTAAAGTGATTTTGTCACTCCAAAATGGGTATAAAAGTGGACTTTTTAAGTTGAAAGTGTATGTACATGTATCTTCAACCTTAAACCAACCTTGAACTACATGTACGATAACATTTGACTGTGCCGCATATACATGTACCAAATATCCGAATATTCAATCATCTATTGAATATCTCAATAGCATTTTACCCAAAAGAATATTTGAAAATCTTGCAAATTAAACTTGCGCGATCCCTCTGGCATGCTGGCAGTATTTATACAATCAGGTACATTTTTCAAATGACCTAACCAAAATCAACAATGACCTCATTTGACCCTAGATGACCTTAAATGTCTCAAGTCATCTTACGTTCCCCTACCCAAAGATCGGAGTGAAGTCTGACTTTTTCATGACAGCACTTTTTAGTTTGCCTAAGCAAAACCAACAATAACGTCATTTGACCCCTAGATGACCTTTGACCTCAAATGTGTTGGGTCATCTGAAGTCCCCCTACCCAAAGATTATTGTCACCAAGTTTGGTTGAGATTGATGTCTGACTTTTCAAATGACAGCACTTCACAGTTAACCTAACTAAAATGGAACACAAGCACGGACACACATGTACACAGACAGACGGCAGGAATACAATCACAACATCCCCCTTTTTTGGTTTTAAAGCCAGGGGGACAAAAAAATGACAGCCATCTCGAGAAGATATGATAGCGAAATATGTCTGTCATGTAACTTTATTCCTATAAATTGCATGGTTTATTGCTTGTCTTGTCACATTCTTGTGGACAGCCATTTTACATGCATGATTTGATAGCTACCTTGAGCAATATTAGCCCGAAGTTGCATCTTTAAAATCTGTCAAATATCAGCTGGTCAGCTATCTCCAAAAATTATATCGATACATAATCATGATATACATAAAACAAAATTATCTGATCATATCAAAGTTCCAAAAATCAAATACTAAATTATTTGAAAACACACAGCACTAGTTAACAGAAACATTGCCATGAACTTTGTTTCTTTATATCTCACAATAGTATCCTTTTTAAATATGCCACATGAATGTTGCTGTACATAGTGCATAGAGTAATAGTATAGAGCTTGTATTTTGGTATTTGTTTTAAGATATCTCAGACACTACAAATACAAATCAAGAAGTCATTATTGGTTCAAACATCATGCTTTCACTTCCCCAATTATTTGAAAATGTTAGTTGTCAAGAAAAAGTTCTCATGAATGTTGTATCATTTTCTCTAACCTAAATGTTTACTTTGATAAGCACTTTGCCATTGCACATTAAGATAAAGTTCTAATTGTTCAACATTTTGGTGCAGTGCTCATAAAGGAAAACATAAAAAGACCTTCATGGATAATTAAATTGTGGTGAAATATGGTTGGCAAACAGGTTGGCAAACAGATTGTCTCCAACATATCGAGCACTCAGTACAGCTTCAAGTATTCAATGAATTGACTTTAGAGAGTTCATCTTACCTGCAGTGTTTCTGCCATGGTATGAGTTCTTTTCAAACTGGCGACATCTTCTTCCCCTTCATCGCCATCTTCGACACCGTCATCTTCATCTTCTTCATCCTCCTCTTCCTCTTCCTCCTCCTCTTCTTCTGCTGCCTTTGAGATATCTCGTGTCTGTGAGCGAGTCTCACCAATGGGTGCATCACCAAGTAGCTCCTGTGCTTCCTGTTTGTATAAGTAAAGTAACTTCATACTGTCCAAAAACTCTCCTTTAACTCTTTCTTTGAAAAATACTGTTAATAACATTTTTACACTATTTATCATCATAACTTTGGAATACAACATCATATTTGGCAGAATTTAAGTGGATTGACATTACGACTATACTGAATAGCCAAGCTACTATTACATGAATGTCCCAAAGTTTGTTTTCAGGTATAAAGAATGTTTCATTCTTTTCTGGACAAGTTTGCAGTTTGAATTTTGGTAGATTTGGGAAGCACCCAAAGAAAAGCAAAGGTAGTTTTGAATGATGTTACCCCCAAAATTATTAATTGATTAAATACTTTTAAAAAAGCAACTGTTATAAAACACAAAAGGTTTATGATTATTTGAGGTATCTATTAAACGCCTAAAATTAACAACATGTGCTTATGAGATTTGGAAATAGTCATTTCACATACAAAAAGCTTTCATTTGAGAAAAAAATACTTATATAACATCACATCCCTCCCCAAAAAATGATTCAATGAAATTAAAACTTACCTTTGCTGTTTCCTTCATAGTATGATCTCGTGGCACCCGTGGTGGTTCAGCAACATCACTTTCTTGTGAAATCTCTTGGAGACGTTGCTGGTCACCTCTTGTCCTACCATCCTGGTCAATGTTAGCATCCTTCAGGATTGCTTCACTATCCTGCAAAAACCAAAAACCAAAAAAACAAAAAAACAAAAAAAAAAGAGAGAAAAAAGTGGTGTAAATTTAGCTATCAACACATGTAAACATTTTATCAACCATTCCCAAGTTTCTACAATTATAGTTTTGGTTCACAATAAAATAAATTGATTCCATTGTACCACTGGACTCTGGCAAAGGGTGTTCAAGTCCTGCAAGTGAAACAAAAACTAAGGGGCTGGTTTCTGTCGAAATTAAACAATAACTACTGACCCAAATAACCTGAAAATGGTCCTTTAACATACCTCATGGACAAAAGACCACCCACAGAAAGTTGACAACTCTCCCCCAACAACAATACTGTGCAGTGTATTATCTTTTTGAACCTTCATGTACTGGATATGTGTATTGCACATGCACAACATGTTCCACACCATGTTTGTTACATTAGGCCAGTTCCAGCTGAGTTGGTTCTGAAGGACTCTGACTTAACTCGCACATGTACATGTGTACTCATACCTTGACTGTGGCTTGCATAGTGGAGTCTCTCTGCACCCCAGGCTTATCAGAGTCTTCTGGCAAGAGGTCATGAGCCCCTTGTGATTTCAGAAACTCCGCTCCCTCCTGCAAAAGAACAAACACAAGTGTAGACATTACTTCAACATCAAACTGATATTCTCTTTACTTTTTGGGTGTGATACTCCCAAAAGAAATTTCAAATTTCAAATCGAACCACTTCCTCTTTGAAATATTACCTTTGTTATTAGCTTGCCAATGAGACATTACATACATAAGGAGTTCTAAAAAAAACGGCAAACTTTAAAGCACTAAATCAACTGGGATATGGTACTCAGGCATGTAGCTTTAAGTTCATTGGAGTCATGACTAGGAACATAATAAGACGCATGGAATAATTGTGCCAAAGGTGAACCTTCATAATTATTTAAAAACATCATGGGGTTGAGTTTCTTTAACAGGTACTCAGGTACCCACGTTTATTTCAATCAGGTACCCGGTTCCCCTACAACCTGTACAATACATGCACACAAAAGGGCACATTAACTTATCAGGCCAGTATTAACCCATTAAATAAATTAATTGCCAAAGGGACTCGATGTTTATTCAATGCATGTATGTGGGTTAAAACTAAAATGGACCATTTATGATATCGGCCAAAATTGAAGTCCTACATGCCGACTACGATTTTGAAAACACACTTCTCTTGCTATTATTTCATACACTGGTAATGTACATTCAATGAAAAATGGAGTCTTTGAGTGGCTCAGTATTTAAAGCTAAGATGATATATGATTAGATGAAGAAATCTAGATTTGACAATTCACGTGATTGGTCAGCAAAATTTTAGCCCTTACACTACACAGTAGCTGTGTGCTGTGTGGAGACAAAAATTGTGCTTTTTGCATTCCTGCATATGTATCTATTTCAACACATTGATAACTCAAAAGTCATAAATTGCAAAACTGAACATTACCAAATGAAAACTTGCATAGCATTTTCTAGAAATGAGTTCAGTGATTGAGCTCATTGATGAACTGAGAAGTGAAATGGATGCTTACAGAGTTTGTCATTAATAAGCCTCTGAATCCTAATTTAAAAAAAAAACCATTTAAATCTTCTGACCTGATCAAACAAAATGTTTGAGTATAATTTAATTGCAAGGCATGAATCCACTAATAAACAAATTGTTTTAGAAACCCAGAGGATATTCATGACAATATTTAATGCTACCCGTTTGACATCATGAACCTTGTGGCTGAAAGGGGTGTAGTCTGTGCATGCATGTGCACAATTTTGCATTGTGATAAATTTCATGGCAAGTTGTTCCCTGAACTTGAAATCTAGACTGTTTTCACTTGATATTTGCTATGGCAGATACATGTATATAAGTACCTGCGGTTAACCACAGAAAATCAAAAGGTGGGGGAGGGGGGGGGGGGGGGAGACCCCCATGGGAAAGATTTCCATACATGGACATGCACAAGCCCTATGAGACTGGTCTGAACACAAAGTGTTTTCTCAGTCAAAATGCTTATTGAAAACACCATTTTCCCTGCTAAATACATATTATCACTTTCTGATGGCTGATAGGTGACTGTAGGGAAAAATAAGTGATGGCCAGGTATGGAAATCTGTCCTTACCATGACCTTGAGAAAAAATTGTGCGATTATTTTGGACACTCTTCAAATTTCCTCATAAATTACAGGATAACTATAGATTTCTAGAGTTGCAGAATTTGATTTTCCTGGTTATAAACCAAGTAAGTAACTGTTAATGTTATAGGTTTGTTTCAGAAAAAATGCCTTTGAGGCAATCAAAATCAGATTTTTTTCCAGTTAATTATCGACTATTCAGTATGACAGTTTCTTACCTGGTTAATAACCAGGAAAAATCAGAATGGACAGAAGGTCAAGTGTACAATGACCTGTATATCCCAGAGACGGAAAGAATTTAGTATCCTTACGACACTTCTTTTGTCTTGTGCAAAGTCTATGGAGAGTTGAGTGCATTTTCAGAATATTCTCAACAAAATTGGAACTGTTTCTCAGTCCCAGATTCCTGTCTTTTCAACATTTTTGCAGGATGCAATAATATTCTTCATGTTCTTTTCAAAACAAAATCAGTTATCAACCTATCGACCATGATCGACCAAAACTTGTTATTTAAAATCACTTGTTAAGGTGATATTTAAAACAAAGAAAAGGGGCACGTCAGATCAGCACATAAGCTACTACTATAGACAAAGCACGATATATGGTTCACCAAACCATGGAGGTAGGACCTAACCTAATTTAAGGCCACCAGACAAAGCTCTTTTCACACAACCCGACGCTAGCGCTAGGGCCGAAGAGCGATATCATTATCGGTAGGGGTACATGTATAGCAAGTTGCTCTGTGCCGACACACTAACAAGTCAAGTGGAACAAAGAATGAACTGTCTGTAGCACAGAGTCTGCATGTGCATTGTGCATGAACATGTCCGTGTATGCGCAGAGAGTTTGTACATAAGCAGTTAACCTACGTGTTTTCGGCGCGGTCAAACCGCGCATCACAAACATGAAACAACCCTCTAAAACTACCCCGAATCATGTTATAAAATGCCACATACCTTAGCTGTGACCTGCATCGTGCTGTCTCTAGCAAGCTTCGGTGCACTGTCTGCCATTTTAGATGGGCTTTTCGTCGTAAAAGATTTGAAAAATGGTACAAACACAAATCGATTTGGTGCTCGAAATGTCACACGCTTGCAAACCACAAAGAAGGAAGTGTGTGCGTAAAATTGAGGCAACAATGCGGCGTAGGTCACAGCTGTATGTTAATATAGTGATGACGTTCATTATTGGCGTATTCTCATTGGACACTATCTGTAGCTGCTGTTCATTCATTGGTTAAAATCGAAACGAAACTACTCTACGTATCCGTTGGCGGGCTTCAGCAGGTTATTTATCTTAATTGACCACCGCTTTTACGCGAACAAGTGACAACAAGCCAGGAGCAGAAAGCGCCCCGGGGAACTTCCGAACGGACGAGGCTAGACCACAGACGCACACGGTTCGAAACGGCGAAGGCGCGTCTTTGGGTCGTATCTTGAGGTATAAAACGTAAAAGCCCCATGGTCGTAACTATGAATAAAAAAGTAGTAAATGCTGAAAGCATTTACTTTGGAGTAAAGCAAATGCTTGAATCCGTACGAACAAAAGTTTTATTTTACTGTTCAGCATTCAGACAGCATGATAGCCAAGCTTCTGAATATTATGTTGGATTGATTGCACGACAAATGCTTGTCAACGTGGGTGTCTCTTTTGTGTGTATGAATGGCACGAGCATGCAAGGTATTACACAATATCTGATGTAGAAAAAGTTCCTTGCTATTATGCGTAGAGTAACAGTAACAATATCCAAATCATCTAGGTGATGCACATTTTTATTTGAATTTACTCAAATGACGAAAAAGGAAATCGCCTGTTGCAGAAATGCTGAAAAATGCAAAAAAAAAGTTTAAAGCGCACCGTAGGTCCTACTGTAAATGAAGTCTGGATATTTTTTAGTTTCCTAAAACATCCAGACACATGTTTCAGCAGGTAAAATCATACCACTTAAACATTCAATATAAAGTTGTTAAAAAAATAATATCTAAGTACATGTATTAAAAAAATTAAACGTTTGAAAAGAACTAGTACTCACTAAACCAGAGTTTGTTTGTTTATTGTTTGAGTAATTTTTAATTTGAGGTATATTATTCCGGAGTGCTCAATTTTAATAGGGTATTTATGAACTTGTAATTTTTATCGTTATTTTTGTAGATCAAATTATTTAAATCTTTGACTTATATTTGGTGATGTCTTTTTAATGAAATAAACCAGAATTGAATTGAAAATTGAATTGAATTACCATTCGGGTTCCCTGATTGCAGTTGGATAAAAAAAAATGAAAGTCTCCTTAACCTTCTGTACTGCGCCGAAATACACTGCTCAGATCTATAATCAAACGCGAAATTATCGTTTCGTCTATTAACGAAATGAATAATAAGAAAACTCCATAACTCCCAAACAAATGTGATTGGAAATAAAGTCTATGGTATCATTTGTATTTTTTCTTCATTTTGCGCGGACGCACTTGCTTTATATTTTCAAGGCTGCCCCTACCCAACCTTTAATAATACACAGTGAATAGTCGACATTTGAAGCGTTTAGTCCCACTTATTTTTATTCACACAAAATAAAGTAACCTGTCACTTACAAAACTAAAACAGTAAAAAGTCAATACTTTCAGTTCATAGCTTTCCAGCAAAAGCGTTTGCTTTATTTTAATACAAATGCGAATAAATGCTTAAAAATTGATACTGGTATATAGTAAAAGCAATTGTTGTTTTTATTCATACGACTCATGCGGAGTCGCCAGGATTTTTTTTTTTTTGGGGGGGGGGGGGTTAAAGCACATCCCCCCAGTACATTCATCTTCGTCTAACATCATGCTATCCTGCGGAGCTGTCGGTCATTTCTAGTCATGCTTTTAAAGTTGCCTACTCCGAGCTTTTTTTAACAGTTTCATCCCCCAAAATATTCCTTTTCTAAATTGCTATTTTTCTAGCGTTACAGAAGTTATTCACTTTTGAATGAAATGGCGCTGATCGACTTGAAAAATCGGCACATGTTTAAGTTTGTTGTATTTGATCTTTACAATCTCGAATGATTGGCTTCCAGACAATAATTCCGTTGTCGCGGAGTAGGCTGATGCCTTCCCACAATCATAATCAGTAGGAGTCGCCAGGGTTTTTTTTCGGGGGGGGGGGGGGGGGGTTAAAGCACATTCCCCCACATAGTTGTACTTTCGATAGCATATTCCCAATTAATTGTTTTTTTTTCGAGGGAGGGCGGGGAATTTTTGCCCACCCACCCCCATTGACACCCCTACAGAGACGTCCACTTTGTTGTATTATAATAGCAACTATGACTTCGCACCAAGTTTCTCCTTTTTTTTCCTTCTTTTTTTTGCGAAGGAGATAATTATGTCGTACGCACGAGATATATGTCGTGCGGGGGAGATATTATCTGGTACATCTTTCGAATGGGGCCGCTCTTCAAAACTGACCATTATTATGCATACTACATATTGGACATTTTCACGGCGCACTGTGGTTGTTGAGCGGGTTTTCTTTGGTGGGATTGATGTCAGAAGAACTCTACAAACATTTATTTAATTAAATCATGCTGACAAAAAAATTTGAGTCAAAAAAATTCGCCGGTGGGGGGGGGGGGGGGGGGGGCAAAGTGCCCCCCGGCTGCCCCCCCCCCCCCCCGCTGGATACCCCCACTAGTCCGAAGTGCCAAAGGATTAGAGTTAGGGTTAGGGTTAGGGAACATTCTGACAACTTTCTGTCTCAAAGAAGCTCAAGCTACGCTGATACTGTGCTCTATCCGCGCTTACGATGCGTTCAACTCGCTCTCTATGCGCCCCTGTCAAGCCCAATTACTCGATCTCAGTCGCTGCCGCTCCGCTGTCACTGCGCCCACACTACGCGCTCTGCGTCCTGGCCTAGTAGCTATAGCGTCGCGCTCTCTATTCGACCAATATACGCTCATGTGACGTCACTTGCGCTGTATAAGTACCACGACAAAATGGTCACTACACAGTCCAGTTTCAAAAAATATTATACAAGTTCATCGCAGTCAAGTTACTTTCTCATAGAGACTACATCGACTGCCTTGCGCCTATAAGCTGCCTCAATGCCACTTCAATGTCGCACGATTCACGCTCGCACAGCGACCGAGTTGCGTCATTACGGCGCCTTGGCCAGAGCGTAGAGGTGTTGCGATTGTTTTGAGCATGTTCAAAGACCTTTGCGCTCATCGGAGACCATACTCTCTGGCGCCCATCTGGCGACCTATGTAGTTGTCGTTGCGATCTAGTAGTTGTTGCGCCCCAGCTATTTTTCAAGGACGCAGTGAGAGCGCATAATAGATCGCAGACAGTGTGACAGGGCCTTCTGATATGTCGCCGCGTTCACAATCCTCACGTAGGCATGCGCAACACTACAAGCGAGTTAGAATTTTATAATTCTAAATTCAAAACGCAACGCGCCAGGTGCGTTCTGCGCGACATCGCGTAGAACATGATACGCGCGCGTCAATCTCCATAAAAGGGTTGTTTTCATCTTACTCGCCAGCTGAACACTCCATTATTTTGCAGGAGGGATGTTTCAAAAAGCTTAAAGTGAATTTGTTGAACAAATCGGGATGTTTTGAACGAATTATATGATTTTTTTTGGCCGAAAAGGTATTTATGAATGGGAATAAATATGTACTCCGTCGGTATTTATCACTCTGTTTAAGACCACTTAGAGTCTGGGTGCTGATAATTACCCTCGCCTCCGGCTCGGGTAATTATCAGCACCCAGACTCTAAGTGGTATTAAACAGAGTGATAAAAACCTCCGGAGCACACATTTATTCCCTTAATATGATACGGAGCGCGTGTGGCAGGTTTTTGTTATCCACCGGAAAAAATCGAAGACCGATATAGAAAGCGCCCGCTGATTGGTCAAAATCTAGAGTTTAAGAGGCGGTTGTCTTGTCTAATCAATCAGTGATTCTGTAGACCACGGCGAATACTAGTTTGGCCCAAGGTTCTTGCGCGAACTTGCCCGAGGGCGAGTTCGGCGAGTTCTATTTATAGATAAAGCGCCCTCAGTCGACAGCGCACCAGCCGTGCATGCATGCGTGACGTGCTGTGTTGCATGCTCGACTGACACATGACTGAGCTACCCGAGCGACTCGAGACTCTTGATCTTGTGATCGATGCTGGTGAGCAGAATTCTGGTAAGTTTCACAGTTTTGTTTGACATGTAGAGCATTTTGGAAATATTCCCATGTCTCTGGCCACCATTAATTTTTCCCTTCAGTGACCTTTCAGTTTCACTAGTTTCAGCCTTAGCTTGACCATGGAGGAATGGCTTGACTAACTCCAGCTGACATGCTCATAATAAATAGTCATATTCATTCACATGTAACGCTGGAGGCATAACCTGTTCGTTAGAATGTGGTAGCAAGAGACCCTAAAAAAAGGGCCTCTCATAAATTGTTCGGTACAACTATAGAATGCAGGGCCACTTTACTCTACATCCGCGCCTCCGTACGGCTGCGTGGAGGCGTGGAGGCGTGGAGCCGACCTACCTCCGAAAATCGATCGTGGAGTCGTACCGTGGAGCCGCAGTCGATATCTCCGAGAATTGCGCCCTCTATCGGTGCGCGTCTCAAAATCGCCAAAATGGTCGATTCGCCGGTATGTCAGCTCTGCGACAATATGTATCAATATGAATCCAATTTACAACTGTTAAAACCTGTGAACTGATAAACTTTACGGATAGGGTATCTCATGTTGTCACTGAGAGGGGGAAGGGTTAGTCTTAAATCCCCTAAACGTTACTTTTATGGTTTTTTTTAATCAGATCGTACTTTTTTCCTTATAAATAATCTTAGTAATCCTTGGCTGTGGAGTATTATTTTTAAAGGGAAATAAAGTCCCTTTAATTAGATACCTAAGAACCTGATGTTAAATGTTTTCAGGTCTGGGAACCAGACAGTCAAGTGTTACAATGATAGCCACTTCTTTGATTTTTCGTCTTTAACCTAAGCTGTTCGTCTTTAATAACCATAAGTATGAAACTAATTTCCTGACAAACATTTAGTTGGATGAATGTTGGTGGAGGGATAATAATGGTTGATCAGAACTTGTCAACTTTAGTGAAATTTCTAAATGTTCACTTGGAAATGTCCTGTATTTGTTCAAGTGCGCCACGTTGGGGAACACTTTGCAGCCCCATAAATGTGACTTACATACTGGACTTCCTTCATATTGTGAGCCACCCAGCAGTCATAGCACCATATGAGGAAAAGTTGATTTGAGGAAATCAAAATTGATACTCACAATATGTTAATAACCAGGAAAAACTGAATTCTGTTCCATGCCCTCCCGGTTGACATCCGTAAAAATAACAATGGCAAAAAAAATTAGAGCAGTCCTCAAAAGTAACTAATGCTAACATGAGAAATGTGGGAGTTGAAAAAAAGAAAGAAAAAAAGACATCCTTGATGAGTATGATAAGTGTATGTAATCCTTTTTATTATATTGATGGGTATACTGGCTTTAAACTTGCTCAACTGGTATGAATAACAAGTATATACACATACACGTACATTTCTGTAGTGTAACACGGAAAAGGAGCCCTTTTATCTTTGATGTGCTGTTTTGGGTTTTAACTAGCCCCCAGAACCCTGACATGACTACATTGACATACATGTAGTTATGTCGCTGTCCTGAGGGATAGGTTTCAATTCTGATGAATTTTGTAACAAGTACTAGGGAATAAAGATTATAGGCCTACAATTCAAACCTTTTGTTTCTTAAGAGGCGGTGAGGATTGAGAAATAAGGGGCCAGTAATTGGTAATAGCCCTCACTGTCAGCTCAGGTCATTGTCAGGGACCAGGGCCCAATTTCATGGTGCTGCTTAACAGCCCGCAGAAAAGTTGTACTTAGCATAGCAGACAAATTTGCTAACCTGAAACACTATTTTACGGCGTGGATGTGCGTGCATGGGGATTTCTATTGTTACGTCACTAATTTAAGCAAATTTCCCTCTGAAGTAAGCGTTCCTTTTGATGTGCTTATGCTTGCGGTCTCAATGAAATAGACAGTGGCTCTGTCTGATTTTAAACCAAATGTTTATAAGTGCACACAATTTTTTGAGCATTTACATGGTTGATTTGTTTTGCAATAAATGTATTAAAAAATGAGAACTCATTATTAAAAAATACACATTTTACAGATACTTATATTTGACATTTTGTGTGAACAGCAATCATCAACTTTCGTTCGTGCATAAGTTGGACAGTGTGAACAAGGATTTGGGCTGCAAGAGATACAAGTGTGGATGGCCAGAGAGCAGAATGCAACAGGTGACAGTCATTGTTATTGGTGCAGGGCAAAGGGGGAAGACCTACAGTAACTATGCATTGGACTATCCAGAAAAACTAAAGGTAAGCTACCTAAACATGATTGAAATGATAAGTTTTCATGGTTTTTAATAAATTGTTATCATATGTAAAAGACTGAATTTTTGGATCATTGGATCATTTTTCCAATTTGCATAAAACAACACATTATATTTATCTAAACCCCTAGTAGTAAGGTTTCAGTAAATAAAACAACTGACAAATCCTTATCAGAAAGGGTAATATTGGTTTCCATGACAATATAGGACGTATTGATGCATTTACTATTCTTCTTGTCAAAATCAAGACAAACAAATACATTCACCTGCAGCCATAACTGACTGACTGACATGGCAAACATTCAGCATTATGTTCACCTGCAGCCATGACTGACTGACATGGCAAACATTCACCATTATGTTCACCTGCAGCCATGATTGACTGACTGACATGGCAAACATTCAACATTATGTTCACCTGCAGCCATAACTGACTGACTGACATGGCAAACATTCACCATTATGTTCACCTGCAGCCATGACTGACTGACTGACATGGCAAACATTCACCATTATGTTCACCTGCAGGCATGACTGACTGACTGACATGGCAAACATTCAGCATTATGTTCACCTGCAGGCATAACTGACTGACTGACATGGCAAACATTCACCATTATGTTCACCTGCAGCCATGACTGACTGACTGATATGGCAAACATTCAGCATTATGTTCACCTGCAGCCATGACTGACTGACTGACATGGCAAACATTCAGCATTATGTTCACCTGCAGCCATGACTGACTGACTGACATGGCAAACATTCAGCATTATGTTCACCTGCAGCCATGACTGACTGACTGACATGGCAAACATTCAGCATTATGTTCACCTGCAGCCATGACTGACTGACTGACATGGCAAACATTCACCATTATGTTCACCTGCAGCCATGACTGACTGACTGACATGGCAAACATTCACCATTATGTTCACCTGCAGCCATGACTGACTGACTGACATGGCAAACATTCAGCATTATGTTCACCTGCAGCCATGACTGACTGACTGACATGGCAAACATTCAGCATTATGTTCACCTGCAGGCATGACTGACTGACTGACATGGCAATCATTCAACATTATGTTCACCTGCAGCCATGAGTGACTGACTGACATGGCAAACATTCACCATTATGTTTACCTGCAGCCATGACTGACTGACTGACATGGCAAACATTCAACATTATGTTCACCTGCAGCCATGAGTGACTGACTGACATGGCAAACATTCAGCATTATGTTCACCTGCAGCCATGACTGACTGACTGACATGGCAAACATTCAACATTATGTTCACCTGCAGCCATGACTGACTGACTGACATGGCAAACATTCACCATTATGTTCACCTGCAGCCATGACTGACTGACTGACATGGCAAACATTCAGCATTATGTTCACCTGCAGCCATGACTGACTGACTGACATGGCAAACATTCACCATTATGTTCACCTGCAGCCATGACTGACTGACTGACATGGCAAACATTCAACATTATGTTCACCTGCAGCCATGAGTGACTGAATGACATGGCAAACATTCACCATTATGTTCACTTGCAGCCATGACTGACTGACTGACATGGCAAACATTCAACATTATGTTCACCTGCAGCCATGAGTGACTGACTGACATGGCAAACATTCAGCATTATGTTCACCTGCAGCCATGACTGACTGACTGACATGGCAAACAGTCAGCATTATGTTCACCTGCAGCCAACTGACTGACTGACATGGCAAACATTCAGCATTATGTTCACCTGCAGCCATAACTGACTGACTGACATGGCAAACATTCAGCATTATGTGCACCTGCAGCCATGAGTGACTGACTGACATGGCAAACATTCAACATTATGTTCACCTGCAGCCATAACTGACTGACTGACATGGCAAACATTCAGCATTATGTTCACCTGCAGGCATGACTGACTGACTGACATGGCAAACATTCAACATTATGTTCACCTGCAGCCATGAGTGACTGACATGGCAAACATTCAGCATTGGTTTTAACTGTGACTCAATGTAGCGGACACTGTACACAAATGTACATACACGCACATTACATAAAGCTGAATCACTTGGAAGTTTCTAATACAGCACTTGTGTCAAAAAGTCATTTTTGGTTCTCTCTTTTTACCTCCATATATTTGACCAGCCGCATTTAATATATGCGTCCATGCGAAATTTTACGTGTACTTTGTACAAAAACATTGTAATGTACGGCACAATATCTGCATGTACTATGTATAAAAAAAATGCTTACTTTTGATCCTTAATAACTCAGCTTTGTGCGAGAGGGTGAGATTTAAAGCCATAAAAAATACTCCCTCCAGAATCTGCCACTTTCGACTTGGCATCCTCCGATGTCAATACAGCGCTGGAGACGATGGCGGAAGGCTCATTCTGATCAGAGGTCCCTTTGCAACTCTTGATGTGTTGTGCCAAATGATTGAGGAGGTGTGCAGTGAGTCACATCAGGAGTGATCCTGCTTTCCTTCAGAATCTTTCTGCCGCAGCACACGCCTTCCGCCATTGTCTCCAGCGCTGTATCGACAGTGGAGGACGCCAAGTCGAAAGACGCAAATTCTGAAAGTGAGTATTTGTTTTCATAATGCCTTGTTTATGTGATCTGAAATTTTGGTTTAATTCCATTCATAAACAACAAAGTTATTAGGATGAAAAGTAGGACTTTTTGACACGTAGTACTTATGTGTTTGTATGCTCATCAATTGGTCTATGACTGGAAGCTTAGAGAAAGTGACATTGCCTGACTTTGCCGTTCTAATATTCTATTTAAACATTTGTGAAATGAAGATCTTTATGCCTGTATCAGAACATTTGGCTGTTAACACCTATGCTTAACGTTACTCCATGAGTGTTATTAATTGTTTTGTCTCTATGATATCTGTGTAGGTTGTAGGGGTTGCGGATCCCAACACAGTAGCATGTAGGCAGCTGCAGAAGCTTCACAACGTTCCTGAAGACAGACTGTTTGATGGTAAACTCTTGTGGGTCATAATCAGATATATAGAGCTTTTTTTCAGTGGATATCATCTACATATACACACCCCAACCACCCTAGCAATCCTCCATCACCCATTCCCAAATCCCCCAGTACAATGTTAATAGGGGCCTGATGATGACTGCATTCTACGAAACAGCAGGCAACATTATCATTCAGTACAGTGTAGAATGCACCTCTCATGATGTCTTATTTTGTTTTTCTTAATTTGCAGATTGGACCAAAGTGTTAGCGCAAGACAAGTTTGCTGATGCTGTCATTATCTCAACTCCTGACCAGCTTCATAAGGTTTAGGCAAAATTGTTTTTGGTTTATATCAATCCACACTGGCCTTCTGAGGGTTGAATATCCTGCCAATAGGTTTAAATTCATCAACCAAATTAAATGATACAAGAATACAATAAGACAGCTGTCACCAATTGACCCTATATTACAACTGCACTAGTAAGCAGGTGGTTGTGGGTTTGAGTCCCACCTCAGCCAGTTTGTGAACTTTTTTCACATGCTCTTTGCATCGCTTCAACAGAATACAGGGTATATCAAATTATGTTCAAGTGCAAAACGCTAAACTAAAATTCCACATCTCGCAGACACAGAACTCCATCTTACGTACCAGAAATGAAAGCAGACTGTTCAGTCACAGTAGGAGGCATTCAATCTACCAGCATGTACTTTTGTAGAATACTTGTGTACAAGTGGTTACTTTGTTGCACAATATACCACTCAGATTGATTTCATTGGTTTTTTTTTTATTTTAATTGTTTTAATTTAACATCCTGTTTTGTTTTCAGTGCGAGAAAAGGGAATTAAATAAATGTGTTCAAATTTTCATGATTAATAGAACAGTTTGTTTTTGTGAACTAAAAAAAAAAGAAGATTTCATCAAATATTTAAATTGAATTGAAAGCAAACATTAAAATTACCAAAAGTCTAGCATATCTGAAATGTGATAATGTAAATACTTTACTCAGTGTTACTCCAGGTTAAAAAACCCAACTTTTATATTGATGTCTCAAATGTTCTCTTTGCTTTGATGAAGGATCCGGCTGTAGCATGTGCCAATGCAGGATACCACATCTTGTTGGAGAAACCTATGGCAGTAAGTATCAACTGGGTAAATACATGTCACAAAAGAAGAAGAGCATCCCTACACATTTTGTGTAGGAAACTCAAAGCATTATGGGTAGTTAGCTGTAACGATCTAGTTCTGTGCTGACATGGAAGTGTTGAGCCTGGGTAACGGATAGAAGACAATTATCCAAAGATATGCTCTTTTCTTTGTTAGTACAGCATGGAATATATTTTTATCAGATTAATTTTTTATGTGATTTTCAACTTCTTATAAAATCTTATAAAACCTCCACACCAGTGTTCCTTGAACCAAAAAGGAAACTTCCAGAACATTTGATAACAGAAACACAAAAAAATGATAATGAAAGATTTAATGCAGACAGCTTTTTGATGTGCATTTGTCCAAGTAGTTGGTGATGAATGTAAAAAAAAAAAAACGCTTAAAGAAATGTGTTAATAAAATCCCACTTGATCTTCTTAAAGTATGACACAAAATGCTGTGTAATATTTCAAGGTTGAGTTGATCATTTGCAGCTAAAAAGTAACTGACCAAATTATTGGTTTAAAGATAGTGATGGCACTAAACTCACTGTAAAATTATTCCTTCTGGCATGCTGTCATTTTGAAGAAAACAATAAAAGAATGTCATTTCCAAATATGAGTCAAATGATGACTTTTTGGAAATTTCCGTTGAGTAGTTTATTTGTAATTGGGCAAATCCGTGAATGGATGTGCACAAGCATTGACACGACGCACAGGTGTGCACAGTTGCTTTTATTCGTCGATTCAGTTTATGACATCGCGTAGCTGCAATTGACTGAAAGAGAACGTGTTCCGGATGCTGATTTCGAGCGCAATTCTATATGACTCAGCAACTGTTGAGTTGAAATTGAGATCCTAGAACATGTAGAATATTGTTTTCTCAAAATGTTCAGCATTCACAGAGCTAAAACTTAATCAGGTTAGTTGTTAAGCACCCGTTTTTAGATTTTGAGCACTTTTGTTGCTTCAAACGAAACAAATGCACAAAATACAAATGATGTACCTTTAACTAAATCAGTCTATTTTTTTATGATTCCAGACGACAGAGCAAGGATGTCGTGATATAGTGGAGGCTTGTAAACGTAATAACATCATTCTCTCGGTCTGCCATGTTCTGCGTCATTATCCTCCCATGCGTAAGATTAAGGAATTAATTGACAGTGGTTTGGTGGGTGACATAGTCAATATACAACACACTGAACAGGTAAATACTAAGTTTTCTTTTCATTCATTTGGACTCAGTTTAATCTTTAAAAAGATGAACAATGACCTCCAAATTAGTTACTTTCTTGTATTTTCTGTATTTTATTTAATATAGGTTCAGAAAATTTGTCATGCTTACTGGCGATCAACTACATGCTTATTTTAAGTTGTACTTGTATGAATAACTGCATAGTTACATAACCCACTTTCTTAAGTACCTTCAAGTAATTGTTTTGTGGATTTAAATGTGTCTCTTTTTCCATTTCTGTTATCATCTTCCAAAATACAATAGTGAGAAAACTTTCGGGTTCTGACATATTCTAGTCTAGACTGAAAGTCTAGTCCTTTTTGTTGAGTTCTTGTGCCATTTGAATTCCTACAAAGTGACGTGTTCCTCACAATTGTGCATGTAAAAAGTGCAGTTATCACACTGCAGTTGACAACTTGGCCCCACTATGTTCAATATCATGCCTGTTGCATGGTATATGAAACAAAGATCCTTATCTTATGGTGGCCTAGAGTGTTAGTGGCTACTCCAGTCACACGTTTCTTTTTAAAAAGATGCCTCAAACCTGTGCATTTTCATTGTTATGTGTGTAAGTCTGAAACTAGCGTGGAACCTGATATCAAACAAGGAATTGTCACTCCTATGATGTGTAAAATGTGGCACCAGACTGCGCTAGTCTTATGTTGACAGATGTGCCTGAAATGAGATGGCTTTATTTCACTGCAGGAACGTATCTATAGGCAAGGCAATTCACTGCAGCACCAGATATCAACAAAAGGCATTTCATTTTAACATTTCCTTTGTAAATGTAAGACATAATGTGGATTTTTTGTGACCCACACGTTTGAAATTATGGTTGTAAACAAGTCGAATACTACATTTTTTTGGCAATCTCTGGACAAAAGTGTACTTTAAAATTTCATGTTGCTGTTTTTTTCATGACATTTAGATTTGAAGTATAAAATGAATTACTTGCTGAGTGACAGGTTGACAGGTTTGATAGAAGTAATCCTGGTTCTGATTGCTGATACAATTTTCACAGGTTGGTTATTGGCACTTTGCACATGCCTTTGTACGTGGCAACTGGTGTCGGGAAGATACCTCTACATTCTCTCTACTTGCCAAATGTTGCCATGATGTTGACCTTTTATCATGGTGGATGAGCAAGTACAGGTGAGCTATATTATCTCGTCTATTGAGGCCAGTATTCTCTCTACAAGACATTTCAAAACACTCGCTCATGTAATGGCCCAGCTTGGAATGAATTTTGATCAGTAGAGCGACTCGTTATGACTGACTGGATGGATGGCACACTAGTGTACATGTAGCCAATCCAAGGACTAGTTGTAAAACAGGACTGTCCTCAGAAGCTTATCATTTTAAAGGGAAGATTCAACATTTGCAAACATCACAAAACGGAATGATCACATGGTCATGAAATACTGGATTGTTAGGGAATGACAGTCTAAAGCATCCTGTAAAATAGAGGCTCCTGGTGTGCAGATATTTTCAAGAAAAATGATATTTTTCCAATGCTGGTCGGCCGACCAGCGTTGAAGAAAACTGGTGTTTTTCAAAAACTGTTCCAAATTGTTCCTAATTAGTTGTTCTGCATTTTCTTTGCAATTGATAACACACCTGTAAAGGGGTACAAGCCTTCTAGACTGATTCTCTGACCTTACAATTCCCCAAAGTCTATAAATTGCTCTGATTCATCTTAAGTTGGGTCAGGGAAACAGACTACAAGAACATGATTGGTTTTCTTGGTTTTTCCATTATCTACAAGCCCAAAACGTGAAACAAGTCATTTTAACAATATTTGCTATAACATACTGATCCTCCAAATCAATTATTTCTAAAAATTGCAGTAAAAGCAAATGTTGTACATTCCTTTTACACATTTTTAGTTTTAAGTAAAGTGACCTATTGTATCTTTTCACAGCTATTTTTGGTACTAAAAGTTTCTCGTAAAATATAGTCGACAGCCATCCCATTTCCCCCCTCTGTTTATTGCTTGAAAATTTACATCAAAGTAGACAGAAATCTGATGACTGCATCAGGAGATGTAACGGAGGTGAAACAATATTTACACAAAGGTTGTGTTAATAAACATCTCTTCAATATTTGAATAGCCGATCATCAACCGAATATCCCAATAGCAGTTTTTCAATTCAACTATTTGAAAAATATGACAGGCTCAAGAAGATGAAAATCGTGCATGATGATCTTTTTATTAAGTAAGTTGTATTGTTGTATTCTTTGTCAAATGACACACTATTATCTAAATCTACTTCAGTGCATGATTTGAGAGTTTCCAAGAGAAATATTAGCTTGGATGTCTTCTTTAAAATCAGTCAAATATCTGCCAATTTGTCAGCTCTTCTATTTTACAATTAGTTCTTAAGTATAGGAACATGCAAATCCCAATCGGTGGCCAGTGTGGGCTTGCGCATGTTACACTAGATCAGTGCATTTCCAAAATTTGAATATCTGATGAGTCCAAGTTAGAATTTTCAAATATTAGCAAAACTATTTGAATATGCACAGCTTGATAAAGAACTGATTTCAGAGTGATTGTTGCCTGCAGCAGCATGTGTTTTGGTCATTACAGTATTGATGTATATTACGTTAAAGCATGGATCTTAAGATCTGTAGTTAAAGTCACCATATTGGTTTAGAATATATTTCAAGTTTCTTGTCTGTGTCTCTAAACCTACAGATGTACTGGGGTATCATCATTTGGGTCACTCTTTCACTTTAGGAAGGAAAATAAGGTTGGTCAGCATTTTATAAAATCTATCTCGACACGATTTATGTTGGTGAAGGGACCTTTGGGAAGCAAATAAACTTCCTTCAGAGTATACAGTAAACTTCGGCTAAATCGGCACTCTCCGGACCTGAGAATTTGTGACGACTTACATGTACGCGAATGCCGATATCTGCTGTAAGTCGTCATTTTGCTGACTTACATTTGCACACATGATTCATTGCACTAATTGGCTTTGATTTACCCTGGATTATCTCCTTAATGCTTGAGTTGAATCCAGCAAATTAATCCTCGAATTGTATCATCACGTTTGGGGTACTGCTAGTGGAGACCACGATACATACATGTATGTGCACAGTAACGAATTATAAATGCGTGCGTGGTCCGGTATATACCACACACGCAGCAGTAGTCATTCAATAAGACGATCCCCAAAATGGACAGAGCGCATGCATACAGCCTAGAGGGGTACTGGTATTGATATGCTCACGATGCATGCGATGTATGCAGTAGGACACCCTTTTTCGACACCGATGCATGCAGCGATCACGGGCCGTGCGAAAGCATTTTTCACTCGACACTTTGCCAACCGCAGTACAGGAAGTCAATGCCAATGCGTGATTTGTTGAATGTCGACTTACACAAAGGATTTTGTAATGCTTTTTATGGAAAGGGGACTGAGAGTAACACGATGACTTGAGCGAAATGGCGACTTATAAAAGCCGACTTAGAATTAGAAATAAAAGAATTCAATGGAAATGCATTATGGACAATCGGGGCTTTAGTCGGACGGCCGACTTAGCGATTCGACGAGTTGTACGATGTCGGTTTAGCCGGAGTTTACTGTAACTCTTTTTGTTTGGAGGGATGGAACGAAGCAAGCCAGGAATATTGTAAACAGCCAACAAGTATTATCTTTTGTGCAGTTGTGGAATGGAGTACAGTGTGTGTCTTGAAGTGAGGTATTGGCCCGATGTACAAGAGATACAAGTTTAAGGTGGTCATCAAAATGGCACATATACACACTTACGTACATGTACCCGGGACCAATGTACATGTTGTGGCAGTAATCTGGGAAGTTAACGGGGTCCGCTCATAAGTCCGACGCCTCATAGGTCCGACGCCTCATAGGTCCGACAAAATCGCATCCCCTAAACAAATAAAGGCCCATAAGTCCGACGCCTCATAGGTCCGACGCCTCATAAGTCCGACGCCTCATAGCTCCGACGCCTCGTAAGTCCGCCAAATTAAATGCCTCGTTTTTCCGTTGTCGGACTTATGAGGCGTCGGACTTATGAGGCGTCAGACTTATGATACGGCCCCAAGTTAACGACTTGTTAGGCTTTAGTTATAGGAACAATTTTGATGCTAGGAGGGTTGCTAATATTTACCAAGAAAAGAAGAGTCCACTGGTTATCACTAGATTTGTTTGGACAAAGACAAAGCTGACAAAGAAGTTGTCTATAAGAGCAATAAAGAAGGTGATGTAATTGTTTACCACTGTTGACTGGAGTGATGATCTGTTGCTGGAATTGAACCAGTAGTGCAGGGGGCTTATACCAACATTGAAATCTCTGCCAAGTGTGGCATGTACTTGCACATAATGATAGATACACATGATGCTCTCTTGCGTGATAAGAAGAATCCATGTCAATTTGTGTTGTGGTAACTTTAATCTTTGTGACCATATTGAGGTTGACATTGAGTGTACTGGAATGACGAACACTGTTTCCTATACACTGACTGGATAGTGTACATAGGCAACAAGTCCCTTCACTTTGCATCAGCCAACATCTTGTAATCGTGCAAATAATGTCCTGCATCAAGGTATTCCCTTTCTATCCAGTAGGGCTTTCCATGAGCAGCAGCTATTTGAAGTTCATAAGTGACTGGCAAAGATCACTAATTCATATGGAGTTGGTTGCATGAGCTATCCAGTCAGTATGAGTTTGAATGAAGGTCCCCAAACCATTCCCTACTGTCTGGGTGTCAGTCAGCCTCAGTGGTTTGCTAAAAAGCACAATGGGGTGCTGGGGTAAGGTAAGCATGTGCTGATGATGCTTGGTATGGACCACCAAGGTGTTGCATTAACTTCTAGAAATGTGAGATGATAACCTGGTTTGAATGGTTTGATTTGTTTGCAGCCACCTGGTTCATCCTCAAGATGTCTAGATTGCAAGGTTGAGACGAAGTGCTGTTACTCAGCCAAGAAACTCTACATAGACATATATAAGATGGTAAGCAATACAAGGATGGCCACAGTGACATCTAATGCAGTATGTAGCTTTGCTTACTCTGGTATTGTCTTCAAAGCTGACTGCTACCAACACTGATCAGCTATGTGTAGTTCTACTAAGAAAAAGCCTTAGTGGTGAATGTTGAAACAACAGAATCTGAACAGTTGTTCCAGTCCCTGCATATTCTGGGTAAAAGTGAATTGTTCGTATGCAACAAGGTGATTAAACAGCATTACAAAATCTAAAGGTTGTTATTAGCACATTGCAAAACCTCTGTGAAGTGACCGTTGGTCATGTACACTGTTACAATAACAAAATGTTTACATCAAATACAAGTACAGAACGTTGGACAGTGGAATACAATGGAGACATAACTATCTAAAAAAAAAATCAACTTATGGAGCGATAACAGTGGATGCCTAAGGTTAAAAGAAGTGGATTTAATAAAGGAATAAATGTGTGCTTGGCCAGTATTAAAAACTATGTTTAAGACCAGTTTGGAGTGTTTAAGCTGACCAGAACTACTGACTCACTAGTAGTATTGCGCATGCCTATAAAGTGAGGATTGTTAACGTTCAACAAAAAAAACGGTAAAAAGGACATCATTTCATAGGAGTCCAAATTTCATGTGACACTGGAAAAGTGCTGATGACCAGCCAACTGGTGTTCTATCAACCATTTAAGACCAGCCAGGTGACGGGGCTGTCGACCAACAGGAATGCGTAAACTGTCGTAGGTATCTATGAATGTGAGCTGTATGTGACGTCTCTGTCCACATAGTGCCGCCTTTCATGCAGACCTTTCATGACAGCTATATGTGTGCTGTTAGTATCAGTTACAAAACAGTCGTTGAATCAGCTTCATTGTTCACAGAATTTGACAGCAACACTTAGAACAAACCTCCACAGGTGGAATAGCATTTCTTAATTAAACTTTCAATTCAATTTTTGTATCATTGTTTTTATTGTGAAGTGCATTGAGGAATCTGATCCAAAGGGGCCAAACAATGTCCAAATTTTGTTAGACAAGTGTTGATTGGCAATGACAAGCTTGACAATATCTGTTTGACCTGTTTTGTTTTTACTTTGATGTGTTTGCAGGGTAACTCTGATTGGCCAGTTTCAGTCATTTGTAACAATCCTTCTATTGAATCCATCACTGAGGCATTACAACATGGGCCATATGGACGATGTGTGTATGACTGTGACAATGACGTGTGCGATAATCAGGTAGATGGATCATTTCATTAACAATTATTCAATGCTGTGATGTGGGATATGGCCTTTGTAACACCCCAAAAGATGCATAGCACCCGAGACGAATGCTATGACACACCCCCCACCCGAGTCATTTTTATAGACTGGACACTTTGCCATTGTAGACCAATAAAATTACAATATCCAAGACGTGATATAACAAGATGATTTGTAGCATGCTGCTGTAATGTTATCATGCGATCATAAAGCTCCACCCTGAGGCTGTATGGAATGTCCCACAGTGAAGGACCAAACAGACAAAACAAAGCAAAATTGCATTATGGCATATCAATTAGGATGCCCAACAAATGTGTCATGTACAATTTGACTTGAATTTGACGGACTGAAATAAAGCCGCCGTGACACCCTAGTGCCCCACTCACATGTAACTTGTCTTAAGACATGTCTGACCACACTCAGATTTGAGTCACGAAAATAAGAAGGGCACTCAAGGAAAGGTTTCGTGAATACTGCTCAAGTTGTAAGACTAGTCTTAAGTTGCGTATTGAAGTGGGGTGCTTACTTATTTACGACTAAGTTGTTTAGCGAATATGGCCCCAGTAGTGTATGTTTATGCACCGGCCTGAAGGACTTGGAGTGACCACCAGAGGGTCAAAGGTGGGGGAAATGGGACTCTCATGTAGTCATTCACGGCCCAAATAATGGCAGAGTAATGCCAGCAATCTGGAAGGTGCCACTTTCCAGTTATAACGAGACTTAACGAGGTATAACCTCCACTGGGCACTGCAACCACAAATGCTGTGCCTGGAGTTTATAACAGCTAGTCTATTTCACTCTTGACGCAAATTTCATCTACTAGCGTATATAAAAAACCACTTGTGACCATGGAATTAGCAAGAGGTGTGCTATAATATCTCATATTGCACTGTCTATAGGGCATAGCGTGTATCATATGATATTTTATATAAAACCGACATACAGATCCTTGTTATTTGATTGCTGGAACTCACATCACGTGACATTTGTTATTGCTCCCATTCACGCCGCGGCTCAAAAAGTACTATCCGCCCATGGGGAATGGGAAATACTATTCAACAGTTAATATCATGATGCGGTATTTGTGTGCAAATGCATGCTGGTGTGTGCGTTCAGCGTTGCGCGTATTGTTCCAAAGAGCAAGCGCTACAGCGTTGGGTTCAAACATTTTCATGAAGGGGTGGTTTCAAAGAGAGAAATACATTTTCCTTGAGTTTTGTGTTGAAATAAAAGTTCAAATATATCAAATGACAAGGATCTATACATGTATGTCAGTTATATAAAACAAATATTGAGTGGCTTTAAATTGTGAAATGGGAGGAATATTATCGCTCGGTCAAATCAGGACTTTTCCATTGCACTCGGCTTCGCCTCGTGAAACGGAAAAGTCCAGATTTTACCTTGCGATAATATTCCTCCCATTCCACGCTGAGCCACTCAATATTTGTATACTAAGTTATGCAAGTTTAATGTGTGCCCACTGCTCATATACAGCAACTAGAATGACTGCTGAAAAGTGACCACAGCTCACACGTTGCATCTTTACTGTGTGTCACGGTTGCTTGAACATAAATTCATTATCCCACTTGCACTTAAAAAATGTATTGTGTCTATGTTCAATTATCTTCAAGTAAATGTGAATCCTCGATCCTGATTGGTCGATCCATGGCAACAAGCCGAGCTTCATATAGCACGGCCACGGTCCATACCACACTCCGCGTATTGCGCTATTCCAAGATGCGCTCGCCATTCTGTACAAACATGCACTTGTAATAGGATAACCGCTTAAAAGTTTATGTACAGCGTGCATGTTCAATCTATTTAGTGCGTCAAATTTGCTTGAAGATAAATTTGTTATCACGCTCGATTGCGCTCGTGGAACACGGAAAATGTAGTTTCCCATGTGTCCCACATGTGCACAGATGCACTACATTATGCCGTGTTCCACTTGTACTCGCACAGTCTTTGGCCTTATGGCACATAGGGCATGTTTCAAGACATTCCCTTGTTCTCTCCTCTCATTTCTATTATGGCCTCTAGCTCTCCTGAATCTACTATGTCTTTCACAGTGCGTCACTTATCTGTATTGTTCTGCATTTATCTTCTCGTGTTTACTCTCTGTTAGTGGAGCGTATTGTAATTATCATGATGGAGAACTGCCTGCCTTAATGTCACGTGTCTCTTACTGTATTTATAGGTTGTTAGTATGCGTTTCAGCGGAGGACGGACGGCAACACTTACAATGGTGGCATTTACAGAAAGCGTTGGTCAAAGAATTGTCAGAGTCTTTGGGACAAAGGTGAATATATTCAACCATAAACCACGTATGGTTTGTGTCATTGTAGTCCTTTTCATACAATCCTTGCCAAGGATCATTGAGTTAGGCTCTGTAATTATATTTTCTACCCAAACTTTTACGTAACCAGTAAAATTAGTAAATGTCAGTTCAACTTAGCAATCTAAAATGGCCCGACCTGCAATCTTTTTAGGCAGCTACATGTACTTTTGAAAAGATTGTAGTTTCTTAAATTATTTTTACGACTTTGTTTCATCCTCAATATGGTTATTTGGTCTTACCTAACCCTATTCTTCCAGTCAGTTTCTCTCTGGTTTATTTGAAAAAAAATATATACTTCATTAAACCACTGCTATGAAGTCACACTATTGTTCAAAGTGTGGATTCGGAACAACGAATTTGTTACACTGGTCACAAAGTGTAGATTGGGAACATGTATTGTTGTACACATGCGCAGTGAGCAGGGCCTGATGGATTGGTCGATCAGCACAAAGTATCCATGCACTGTGTACAATACAGGCCTTATTAATTGCCTTTATTATCTCTCTCCATGGGTCTTTTTAATGCACGGGTGGGACTCGAACCCACGACCTCCTGCTTTCTAGTGCAGATGTCTTACCACTCGACCACCGAGCTAACGGGATCGGTTGGCCGGTTCGAATCTGATGTACATAGCAGCGGGTACCGCATAAACTATTAAAAGATGGAATTTTGCGTCGGGGTGATATAAATCAAATTAGGTTTTGCCCTTCACCGACGTTGTTTTCAAACACTGTATACTTAGTGTGTTACCTCCCGAGTGAAAGTTGGAAAAAATCACTCGGGTGGGACTCGAACCCACGACCTCCTGCTTTCTAGTGCAGATGTCTTACCACTCGACCACCGAGCTAACGGGATCGGTTGGCCGGTTCGAATCTGATGTACATAGCAGCGGGTACCGCATAAACTATTAAAAGATGGAATTTTGCGTCGGGTGATATAACTCAAATTAGGTATTGCCCTTCACCACTGTTTCAATGATAGTTTATTTTATTGTTAGGCAAATTAGGACCGAGTTATGGGGACTTTCTGCTGTCCCCATAGCATTATCGGTCCCCACAAATACCTTGCACAGACGAGTGTAAGTCCCCACAATTACGGAACAAGAATGCGTGTGTGTGTGCATTTGGTTCCACAGGGATATCTGGATTGTATGTCCATGTATACCTTGATACAATGAAGGTAGCTTGCTAGTATAATGTATAGAAAATGAATAAGTTTGGACCCCATCAGACAAAGGCCAGAATTAAAACAATAGGATTTTATTTTATTTGAATTTTTTTTTTTTACCAAACCAGTATGCAATTGTAATCACTCACTAAAATAGTAGGGGGGCCTGTACACTGTTTATACATGTTTTTGTATAATCAATGTGGCTTCTCCGCCCTTTTTTCTTGGACAGTCATATTTTTAATTGAAACAACAACAAAAAAGTTTCTCAACAAACACATGTACATGTACATGTAACACTAAAACTTGAGACTTGCACCGTAGTACATGTACATGAACATGTTATGTAGCTCCCTGGGTTGTTCTTAGGATTTTGAGTCACTTTCGGACCCCATAGGCTAACTGTTCTCATTATTAAAAACCAAAGAAATGATGTCATGAAATTAACTCAAGCTTATTCAAATAACCATGTTTTCTTTTGATTATTTAAAAAAAAATATTTCCATGTAGGTCTTGTAAATGCTCAAAGGATTTGCCTTTGAGAAATGTCTCGCTTAAGACTGAAAATATCCAGTCAGTTTGCTTAAATCACATACAATGACTTCCCAACAGAAAAGCATAAAAACAAAAATTCATTACAGGATCATAGGCATCAATACATTACATATATAACCTAAAGAAAACAATAACGATGTCAATGAACGTTCCATGTGACCCAGGTAAGTTGATGTGAATAGAGTGGTGTTATGTCATGGAAATAGGCATGGTTGCGGGGCATTTGTGTTTTTAACACTATTTTTCTTGTTTAATTTGTTTCAATGCTTGTGGTATCTACTGTATTTGATTGACAGAGGATAGAGAACAGTTGGTTGTTTCATACATGTATTAGCTTTTGAGAAAGATCAACTTGATCAAGTTCTTATTTGACACTATCAGGCAAGCATGATATTGAAATTTGACCCACAGATGTTGATGTCTTAACTGCAGGGTGAGATTAACCTCAGTGCTGCTGGTGATGTCCGACACTATGACTTTCTGAGTCAGCAGACGGTGGATGTGACTGTTGACTTCCCTGCATCATCAGCTAGGGTGCGGTCTAGCTCGCTAGGCCATGATTTGGCTGATTTCTACCTAATGGACAATTTTGTTCATGCACTAGCGGTATGTGCAGTTTTCACACATTTCTTTAAAGAAAATCAAGGGAGCAATACGTAAAAAATGCGTAAAAAATGTTAAACTTTGGAATTCCAACATTGCCCAACCAGACAAAGTGGGAATTCCAACTTTGCACGGATTCCCACTTTGTCTTCGACACAGACATGTGCAAAAATATAATATCTACAGCTTATATTAGTATTCTTTTTAAATCCTGCATTAAACACAAATTACACTCAACATGTTCCAGGTATTTCTTCAGATGAAAGGGATTTCAATGCTATTTTTAACTTCTGGCTCATGGTCAGATCAGAACAATAGTCTTGAGAATGGCCCGAAATATTGCAGAGAATAGTGATGTCAGAATTGACTGAAAGAAAGGTCCAACTATTTGTATAGAGTTTACTGGTGGTCATGATGATGACAAGCAATCAACAAGAAAACAAAGTCTGCCTTGTAATGCAGGGTCTGTCATTGTTCTTCACCTTCAAAAAACATTTTATAGAAATTAGATAAAAATCATCTTTGCAGTGTCTCAGGTTTGAGAAAGCCGTTCATAAGATGTGCATATTTGTTTATGCAATTATCATTTTTTTGTTTCAACAAAAAGATGAGGTGCTGGTACGTAATAACTAAGACAGCAAAAAACAAAGGTTTGAGATTGGTCAATTTCTAAGGCATGTACTCCTTGCAATTACAGTGGAGTAAATGATGAATATGCGAGATGATGTTGTCGACGGACACTTTTGTGTCATTTCTGTTGTGTGCCCCAACTTTAATTAGTAGGTGTGCTCTTTTAACAGAAAGACTCCTTGGGTTTGTTGACAAGTCTTTCATATGCAGTAGACAATTTATTTGTTCATTTGTGCCAAACTTTGTTCCTGACCGTTTGTTTGAAACAAAGGCGTAGAAAAGGCAAGTTGGGTTCTCCATTAAAAACAATTTGCCTCTGTTAGATAAAAATTACATGAGCACTAGTGCATTTTATAAGTCAATTTCATACATAGAAAAACTGCTTGTGAATATGATATAATTATAATTGAAGAACTCTTTTGGTGTTTCAGATGAAGGACCCATCTATTATTCCAGCTTCAGCAGAGGACATACTGACGAGTCACCTGCTAGTGTTTGAGGCAGAGAAGGCTCGGCGGCAATCCAGAGTCATTTCCTTTGAGGAGCATTGACAAGATCATGTGATGAGCATTGACAGGATCATGTGATGAGCATTGACAGGATCATGTGATGAGCATTGACAGGATCATGTGATGACCTAAGAACTCTTTAACATGACACAGCCATTTTACTGACAAGTATTAAAGGAAATTGGCATTTACATAAACAAGTAAAAGGCTCTGAAATGCTAATTGAATTCAAACACATATTAAAAGTACCAAATCTAACAACACAATGACTGGTCCCCCACAGTACTGAACCAACAAAATGTTGAGCTATGATTACCTTAGATGCGGAGTATGCGTAGTTCGGGTTTAGAAGTCATAATTTCATTTGCATTTTAAGTTACTTGTTCACTTATAAAAATAAGTGCAAATGGATTCTATTTAAAATTTATCAAAGTTTGTAAAAATGCCCAATCCTAACCAACCGACGTTAAACATGATCCTACAGTATGCTACTGGCCTGTGTCCCACACACCACTCGGCCTCCGGCCTCATGGGTTGTTGGATACAAACGCACTACGTTATTCCATGTTCCACTTGTGCTTGCAGGATAACTAATAACATCATGGTTCAAATTATGTAGGATATCTATGGATACCATGAGAATCAATTTAAAACACCGGTAATGGTAAAATTTGGCTGTTTTCTACAGAAATAAGCATTTTTGTGTGAGTCCCATAAACATGGACATTTAAAAATGTGTGACCTTGTCGAAAATGAAATACTTGTACATGTATATCAAGATACCAAATTGAGTTGTTGAATGGGAGGTTTGCAGTAACACCATATGAATGAAAGATATCTCTTAATGAGTTGTGTGGTTCCGAGAAGAACCAGTTGATTTAACTCGACGTTTCAAACAGGATGCTCTGCTCGTAAAGTGAGTTACATGTACATGTACATATCAAAATGCATAGCCAATGATGTCCTTCCTACTACATAGTGACCAAATCTTTGAGTACAACATTGCCTTCAAGACTCGTTTGTGGGATCCAATCACCATTTAAATGTACATGTAATTGCAATTTGTCTCCCAGAGACGTGTTCCTGTGATGTTTTTATCTTTCCCAAGATGACTGCCAATGCGTCACTTTTGAACAGTTCTGCAAAAATGTGTATTTGTTAGGTGTTATTCTTGCGATTGTATTTTATGTATGATTATTGTTATATATTGATGTCTGTTTTTTAGTAATCTTATTAGTACATGTTTACATGCTGCAAATAAAGTAATGAAACAAAATTAAATATCTATCTTGACAATATTTTGTACATCGTATTTCCATTGATTAAACGTTATATTTTGCATATATTTCACAGGGATGTGATTTACCCTGTATAAAATATCAGAAATAAAATATAAATATATGACATTAAATACGGTGGTGGATATGATTTACCTTGTATAAAATAGGAGAAAATATGCGACAAATAAAATATGCATGAATAAAAAAAATTAAATGTTTTGGAATTATTGTCTCGTCTTCAGTGTTGATAACAATACTTACAAGTGGGGAAGAAGCTTGATGAATGCTTTCTGTATGTTGGTCTCTGCTGTTATTTTTATCCTGAAGCAAAAATCATCCAATTTTTTAGCTAGATGTCCAATTGGAGATCTTATTCTATCCGTGGAGAAAATTCAGTGACATTTTTTGTTTATGATACCCAAGTTTACAACACAATTTGTTTGGGCCCTACAGTACAGCAACATAGTCTATGTAATCTATTACATTTGAGCAGATTTGCTGATTAATTATTCAAGACAACCGCATCTTGGTTTTGACCAATCAGCAGGTGCTTTCTATATCGGGTCTTCGGTCCTGATTTGAGAATGAAATGATGTCACGATTTAGTGAAGTCGGCTCCGATTGGCTGGCGCATGGCTTGCATATATCTACATGTCTAGACATATGAGACGTTGTACAGGAGACTTGGCTCCGGGGATAACGGGTCATATTCAGACTAGTAACAGCAACGTGCATCTTGCATCAAATCCATGAGATGTATCATGCCTGGTGGAATAAAACAAAATGATGTACTCAGCAACACTCAGGCATACAACTTTTCCTCGGATCAGCTGATTTCCTCTCTTTTTACTTCCCATGTGTGCCATTGAAAATACAAAAACACTGTACAAAGTCTGGGGAAAATTTGAATTTCCTCTTTTTTGGTGATTTCCCAGTTGCATGCCTGAACACTCAAAGGTACATTTGTGGCCTGATGCAGTGATGATTCGTAACTTGAGTTACAATGGAGGGGCACCCAAAATTTTCATCCATGCTGAAAGGTTGACATTGTTTTTACCGGACACCGGTAAATCTAGGATATACAAACCGGTATATCTAGGATGTACATGTACGTGTACAAACAAAGAAATTCATATATTTTACCGCCCTGTACCGGCTTAATGGTTGCCATATTGCTAGCTTAGCCACGGCTAAAATATCACTCGCCTTGTGACAGAAACCATTGAAATAATTTGAATTTTTCAATTTTAGTCCTACACGGCAGCCATCTCGGACGCCATCTTGAATATTTAAAATTGTTTAAGAATAACAGGTCTACACCACCCTAGATCTCATTCGATACACCCCAAAGATGATCAGCAGAAAAACACTACATGTATAGCAGAGAATCAGGGGTCACTCTCCTGGGCTGCCGGACTGCATACCTTCCACTACATGTAATGTATATATGCACATGGTAGCATGACACATCTTCTCCTAGGTGGTTTATTGTTACTTCATGTCAAATCTAGTACATGTGTACGACTTGTAATACATGTACCATGTTAAAACTTGATCAAAATAGAAACAAACTGTCCACACCTCTGCCAAAGGAATATTGAAATGTGACTACCCTTGACTGCACAATGTTCTTATGGTCATTGAACTGATTGATATAGAAATATTCGTTTTGATAACACCTCACCCACAGATTCTGTATCTTGATTCGCCACTTGAGAGCGAGTCATATGGGTTGTTACTCACACACAAGACGGTATTCGCTATTTTTGCCATCTTATCTTGCTGTGCATGGCCTAACTTAACACAAAGCAATCAAACTACTACATTTTAATTGTATTTAGCTCAAATAAATCAGTTATCTCTTAAAATCAAGCAGAATTTGTAGGCGAGGTGTTAAAAAAAAAAGTTGACTGCTTTTGCCTTGGACAAAATAGAATGCTCCATGGATCACCATTGGGGCTAGTCTTACTATGCAACTTGAAGCAGTCAATTAATACTTGAATACTATCTAAAATGTACACTGTACACTAAAACATCAATTAAATCAATATAACTGAGCATGGGCGCAGCCAGGATTTTTTTCTAGAGGGGGCAAAACATATTTCCCCCCCAAAAATTCTTGTATTTCTCACCAAATTCTTGATTTATCAGTTTTTTGGGGGAGGGACATTTTGCCCCCCCCCCCAACTCATTAAATTTAAACCACTATGACTTCGCGCCTCTTTTTCTTCTCTTTTTTCCTTTTTTTTTGGTTGGTTTTCCGGGGGGGGGGGGGGGGGGGGGGGGGGCAAGTGCCCCCCCTTCCTCCCCTCGCGACGCCCATGTAACTGAGTACCTAAAAATCCACTGAATGAAGTCAATGGAAGAATTGTATGGGAGGAATATGCTGAAACTACTGAGGAAATGCCTTTTGGGCAAAGATGGGTATGGATAACCCATTGCACATGGTATACCAATGGATTCAGACTGGGGTCACTAGTGATGTGTGAATCCTAAAATATGACAACAATGCCACATTCATGTCTTCATAAGTCGGATTTGAAGGGAAAACAAGCACATTGACTATCCACATCACATTCTTCTGTAAAGAATTAGGAACTACCCCACTATTTATCAAAAGGCATGCTGTTTTCAAAGTTCAAATTGGACTTATTGACTTAAACTGTTTGTGTGTTCATGAAACTGTATGTTCAAGTAGAAAAATTATCAGAATTTTATTGCAATTTTTGAAGGTGATTCAAATTGAAAGAATGGACATGTTTAGTAATTTAAAATAAAGGTCAGAATTTATGAAATACAAGAAATTCTTAGTATTAACTAACAAACTAATACATAAAGAAAGATAGTTAATTCTGACAATTTTAGACTCTTAAAATGAAATTTTAAAAGGGATTATTATACAGATACATATTTGATGGAACATGTAAAACACAAGCGTGCATATCATAAAAAAAAGTACTCAGAAACAATCATTGATGCGTGTTAAATTGTAAGTCCTAATTTGCACTATGCTAATGACATTAACATAATACTTTTGAAGTTTACTTAAGAAATGTCCCAACAATGTGTGAGTACATTGTAAGTGAGATTGCACCAAGTTGAATGCACTGGTTACTTGAACTCACAAAAGTATTGGAAGAGTGAAGTACACACATACTTAACACTGGAATATCTCACAGGGTCTTGCAATCAGTGCCTTAAGTACATTCATAATAAAAAGCGCAAAACTGGAAGGCTTTCAAGAATAAAATAGTTGCAGACTTTAGTTAGCTCTCTTTTAAAGATAAGAAAAGAAAGTGCTGAAAACTGGCTTAATTTACACAAGATTTGGACAATGTTTTCACAATTCATTACAATGGTTTCTTCTTTCATTTTACACAAAGGCGGACTCACCACGCAAATGACAAAACAGAAGTGACATGAATGTGTAGCGTCTACGTAGCTTTCTTTTAAACATCAAGTTATAATGTATCAGACAATCTATTTAAAAGTTTTTGAAGGTCTTCTTGAAACTATGTTGGATGACAAGGGGACGGTCACGCATGGATGGTTCAGGAAGATCAACAGCTTTATCCGCATCGGGTACAGACTCAAACCAGACAAAGCCATACCTGCCATGACAAATCAACAAGAAGTCTGAATGAGTTCCTAGAGCATCAGATAATCAGTCACATCGCTTCTTTGAAGTATGACTTGATAAAACTTGTATCACTTGTTAAAACTGCATAGGTTCATACAGTGTAGTAAAAGATTGTTCTGCAAGTACAGCAGAAATGGCAATCAGTGATATTAATCAATGTGTTCTGCCCTCTGCCACCTGGCCTTTCCTTCGGCTTCTCTGTTTTAAAGATGCTTGGGGAGTGTGTTTTGTTGGGACGGGCTGGAGTCTGTCAATGCTTCAGGGATGTGATTGGTCTGTGCCAAAAAACCCTGAAAATTGTATTCATGAAGTGCAAACTCCTCCCCTCGCGACGCCCATGTAACTGAGTACCTAAAAATCCACTGAATGAAGTCAATGGAAGAATTGTATGGGAGGAATATGCTGAAACTACCGAGGAAATGCCCCCCCTTCCTCCCCTCGCGACGCCCATGTAACTGAGTACCTAAAAATCCACTGAATGAAGTCAATGGAAGAATTGTATGGGAGGAATATGCTGAAACTACTGAGGAAATGCCTTTTGGGCAAAGATGGGTATGGATAACCCATTGCACATGGTATACCAATGGATTCAGACTGGGGTCACTAGTGATGTGTGAATCCTAAAATATGACAACAATGCCACATTCATGTCTTCATAAGTCGGATTTGAAGGGAAAACAAGCACATTGACTATCCACATCACATTCTTCTGTAAAGAATTAGGAACTACCCCACTATTTATCAAAAGGCATGCTGTTTTCAAAGTTCAAATTGGACTTATTGACTTAAACTGTTTGTGTGTTCATGAAACTGTATGTTCAAGTAGAAAAATTATCAGAATTTTATTGCAATTTTTGAAGGTGATTCAAATTGAAAGAATGGACATGTTTAGTAATTTAAAATAAAGGTCAGAATTTATGAAATACAAGAAATTCTTAGTATTAACTAACAAACTAATACATAAAGAAAGATAGTTAATTCTGACAATTTTAGACTCTTAAAATGAAATTTTAAAAGGGATTATTATACAGATACATATTTGATGGAACATGTAAAACACAAGCGTGCATATCATAAAAAAAAGTACTCAGAAACAATCATTGATGCGTGTTAAATTGTAAGTCCTAATTTGCACTATGCTAATGACATTAACATAATACTTTTGAAGTTTACTTAAGAAATGTCCCAACAATGTGTGAGTACATTGTAAGTGAGATTGCACCAAGTTGAATGCACTGGTTACTTGAACTCACAAAAGTATTGGAAGAGTGAAGTACACACATACTTAACACTGGAATATCTCACAGGGTCTTGCAATCAGTGCCTTAAGTACATTCATAATAAAAAGCGCAAAACTGGAAGGCTTTCAAGAATAAAATAGTTGCAGACTTTAGTTAGCTCTCTTTTAAAGATAAGAAAAGAAAGTGCTGAAAACTGGCTTAATTTACACAAGATTTGGACAATGTTTTCACAATTCATTACAATGGTTTCTTCTTTCATTTTACACAAAGGCGGACTCACCACGCAAATGACAAAACAGAAGTGACATGAATGTGTAGCGTCTACGTAGCTTTCTTTTAAACATCAAGTTATAATGTATCAGACAATCTATTTAAAAGTTTTTGAAGGTCTTCTTGAAACTATGTTGGATGACAAGGGGACGGTCACGCATGGATGGTTCAGGAAGATCAACAGCTTTATCCGCATCGGGTACAGACTCAAACCAGACAAAGCCATACCTGCCATGACAAATCAACAAGAAGTCTGAATGAGTTCCTAGAGCATCAGATAATCAGTCACATCGCTTCTTTGAAGTATGACTTGATAAAACTTGTATCACTTGTTAAAACTGCATAGGTTCATACAGTGTAGTAAAAGATTGTTCTGCAAGTACAGCAGAAATGGCAATCAGTGATATTAATCAATGTGTTCTGCCCTCTGCCACCTGGCCTTTCCTTCGGCTTCTCTGTTTTAAAGATGCTTGGGGAGTGTGTTTTGTTGGGACGGGCTGGAGTCTGTCAATGCTTCAGGGATGTGATTGGTCTGTGCCAAAAAACCCTGAAAATTGTATTCATGAAGTGCAAACTCCGGCGAGCGCGAAGCGCGAAGCCATTACGGCGTGGGGTTTGAAAAATTTTGATTTTAGATGCTCTGTGGTGCAATCTGAGGCAATTACTGGGCACTTTCCTCTGAAATTCTGAAGCAGAATTTGTTTTAATTTTATGAAGAATTTTCCTTTATTTGTTAAAATGTACTCTTGTTCTAATAAAGTTTTTTCTGTACTCAAAGTTGAGAACCATGCTGTTCTCCCCAGGATTGTTTCAAACCTGTGGGGGAATTTTTGTTGTGATACAACAACCTGCGAAGCCACGGCGTGGGTTCGGGGCCCGCTTAAGGGCCCGGAAAAATTGTGAACTTTAGAAGCTTTCTGGTGCATTTTAGAGCATTTCAGAGGAGATCTTGTAATATTTTTGTAAAAAAAAAAAAAAAAATTGTAAACTTAAATCACTTCTGCTTCCAATAACATGCCTTTCAAAATAGCGTCGGTAGTATTGTTGGAAAACAATTATTTCACCATTTCTATGTAGTAAAGCAAGGAATCGTTTATATTTCATGTATTTTGTGCCTGGATTATTCTCATTTGCGCCACAAAAATTATCAAGACTAGCCATCAAAAGTGATCAAAACTTGCCTCACCTAATTAAAAATATATTTGAGGGGGGTCATTCCACAATTATGCTTAACGTACATCACGGCCGCTAGCGCCGCAAACATTCACTCTGGCCGGCCGTACATCACGCCGTACACACTGCCGGCCCGCGATATTTTTTTTTACACAACTATCTGGGGTACTTTGTGCGCTTTCCTATGGGGCTTGGTTTTTATAACCAGGCTTGAGCGGAGGCTACTATTTTTCAACTTGGTACGGATTTCGGACTTTATTTCCCTTTTTAAAAAAATCCTCCAGAGCCTCAGATCAGGAAAAGAAAAAGGAAATTGCTGCTATACAAGTAGTATCCGACTGAAAAATAACGTTTTTAAGATTCAACTTAAAATTGTTGAAAAAAAGAGCAAAATCTTTGTAGGCAGAGCGAGGAATCGAACTCGAGACCTCCGATCATTAGCCAGCATGCCTAACCACTAGGCAACGGCGGTTCTCGAAATTTCCGTGCAATTCATAAATTATATACTTTCACACATGTGGAGAGAGTATACGTGCGCGCGCGTAGGTAAAATGTTACAGGATTGTAGAGCGCCGCTACGCGGCGCTCTACAATCCTGTAACCGTGATTCAAGTCGCCTGAAAAATGGATACCCCCAGTGGCAATTCAAGCTTCCGTACCCCAGATAGTTGTGTAAATAAAATATTCGCGGCCGGCCCGGCGCAGTATCAGTGTGCACTGCTGCACTGTGTACGGCCCATCCCACATGGCCGAAAATTCTGCAGGACTGCAGAAACACGCTACGATGTTTCTCCACAGAATTGAGTTTTGCAATCTCGTCATGTCAATGGAAAATACATACACAGAAAATGAAGATCACGTTCTGTGAATAAATATGCAGAAATCCTCTTTTTCCATCGATGGTTGTTTGGTATTTTAACGATCCAATTTCGGCCGATTACGCACGGAAAACGAACCTGCGAGTACTTGCAGTAGTCACTGGTTCCGATCCTTCATCATAGCATTGATTCTGTTAGTACGCGAAGGGTACCAGTGTACCATGCTGCACTCGACTGCACACCTGACCAGCGCAACACGTGCATCACAAGTACCGACACAGGAACTAGACCTACATAACCACAACCTCGGCCCCGAGCGAAAAATCACATAATCGCACTAATGGCAACGCATGGTCTCCAACTTCGTTCTCACATTGGGTGTTCAATATGTGGTGCGGCATACATATCGATACAAAGTTTATGTCTGTTAGTAAATTTCGGATATTTCGGCAAGCAAAACTTATTATGAATAATTAATTAGCACATTCTATCCCCCTATTTTCTCAACGGATTCACACGATTCACGTTGGTGGACTTTTGAGGCCCAAAAAAACGGATTTCCGGAAAAAAACGGAGAAATCACATCCCTGATGCTTAGGCCAAAAAAAAAAAGTCGCCGTAGCCATGCGTGTCGGCAAAATGAAAAAGTTTTTTTTTCAATGAAAGATGATGTCTCAAAACCGCCAAACTCACTGGTTTGACTGGAATTCTGCTGCTGCGCAATTTCAACGTGTTTTTAGATGGGGTTATGATCAAGAATAAGCTTTATGTGGCCTCTCTGGACTCCCATATATTTGTTTATATTTGTTATTTGCACTAAGTTTAGTCGGGCACCATTTGCAGTCATCTGCCGACATTTGAAGCAAAAAAGTCGGGTAAAAAAAAAAAAAAAAAGCCGCGTCGCCGCACCACTTTTTGGACAAGCTCCATACCAGAAACCGGACACTTTTTTTTTTGGCCTTAACCCTAACCCACCTCACTCCTCCAAAATCCTCCTGGCGGTTTTGGAGGATTCTAGAGGATTGAGGATGAATGGTGATTGAATCAAATGAGGATTCTGGAGGATTGAGGATGAATGGTGATTGAAGCACATGAGGATTTTGGAGGATTGAGGATGAATGGTGAATGAAGCACAAGAGGATTTTGGAGGATTGAGGATGAATGCATTTTGAGGCAGGACTGTCTGATGATTTTGAAGGATTTGGCGTTGGTTATCCTTCATTTAAACACGAGTGCAAAGTTTTGGGATGAGGAGGATTTTGGAGGATTGAGGATGAATGCATTTTGAGGCAGGACTGTCTGACAATTTTGAAAAATTTAGGCGGAGTTGCAAAATTTTGGAGGATTTTGGAGGATTGAGGATGGTTGTAAGCAACAAGGGCCTAGGGGGTTAGGGTTAAAGACAACTTATTTTGATGAACACAAATGAATGACCACATATACAGTCACATTGTTAATGTTGTAGTTGTAGTAGATTACATGTATGGCAATGCACTGCAAGAACAAGCTGCAATCAGGCCTTAGAGCTCTCAACATGTAGCTTATTAAGACACATCTTAGACAATACCTTCTTGATTTCTGAGTCCTATGAGTGCGGATGATGACAACGTGTCCTGGTGTGATACCACAACTCTCCAGGTACTGTCTCAATTCATCCTCATTGATCCCTGGATGCAAACCTCCAACATGGACTTTGTAAGGGACTGCATTAATAACAGTAGAGAAAGAAACAAGTTTAACCCTCCTATTGTTGAGCAGTCACAGACAATCAAGAATTTCTTTCACTGCCCCTACCATGCATTTGTGTACAGACTTGTAAAAAACAGATGAAGTTCGTGATTTTGTGTGAACACTGTGACTAGTCTAATTCCAAAAAAGGTAACTGGTGCATACAACGGTTATATCAATCAGATCCAGTCAAAACAAGGCTATATCAAAATAGACAAACAAATTCTTAAATTTTATAAACAATCTCTTGAGTGTTGACTGCTGTGGCAAGCTGCAGATACTTGCATGCCTTACACAGAGTCCCACACACAAGTGGTCTGAAGCACCATCTACAAGGCTGGTGAGATAATTGCTGTATTGGCCTTAAGGACAGGGGTAATTAAGGTGTCACACTCTGGGTACCAATAATGCTGAATATGTGCACTTTGTAAATACACATTATAATTATTATTTAAACAAGGTGGAATCAGAGAGATGTCAATTGTTTAATATTGGGTTTTAATTTGATGTGCACAATGTATGGAGTCATTTGCTGAACAAGAAAGTTGCCATGTAAGGGGCGCTCACAACTGAGCTATCCTTTAAGACTAGAGGCATGGTGAGCCATCCCAAGTATATTCTACATTTGTGCCCTTTGGGGTGTCATTGAAATAGGAGAGCTACTCACACTTGCGCGGTCTTGGAAGGCGTCTGACTATCTTGAGCTCCGTCTCCCAGTCGTTGCTAGAAGGAGAGGGCATCGTGATTCCATTCAGAAGCATCATCTTCTTGGCTTCTTCTTCTGTCTTAACAATCACCGTTGCAAAGCTGAACAAAAGATAATAGTTTGGATTTGTTTGTACCCTCTGGTGCTTACATTGTATTTAAATTTTTTTTCAAAGCCAGAATGGTTAGTTTTTACTTTAGAGAAATATGCCTGTTGCTTATTTGCTTTTTCTCACAAACATTTTCCAGCTTTTGCTCACTTTTCTTTTTAGCATTTAAGCTTTTAAAATTGTTACTTAAGTGTTAATTTGTTTGGTAATATTTGGCATACTGAAACTATAATGGAACATGTATGTATTCAGATTATCTATCACAGCACAAATATTGTTTTAGGAGGGTAAGCTCTAGCCAACACTGACTTTAGTAGGCCAGGAGCCACTTTCATGAAACACTAAGACACGTGTTAGGAAGGGTTACTCGTCTTAACTTGCAACTCGTCCTAGAATCAATTTATCTTAACTTAACTTAAAATGTGTTCAAAACGTCATAACGACTGAACTCGTCTTAACTTAAGATTGGTCTGAGGGTCGTCTTATCCCATTAACGTGTGCATTTATTTGTATCATCTGGAAATCATTGGTTTAATAAAAAGTAGCTTGTTTACAAAATTTAACAGTATGCCAACACCTAGTAATCATTTAAAATTGAGTGAAAAAAGTAGGAGCAAGAATAACTCCATCGTACCCTGTATGTCAAACTGATTGAATATAGCATAATGTTTCTGGCAAAACTTTGTCTTCTGTACACGTGTGCGCGTGCGGAAAATTGGCCAATTTGCTCGTTTCTTTTTAACAACTGCTTGTCAAGCAGTAAAAACAAATGTAAAACAGCCATCAAATTTATAGTTTTGATGCCTCTTGCTACAGTCAGGTTTTAAATTGATCTTATAACTCATCTTAGCTAAGTTCGATCTTACAGCGGGAACATGTCTTTAAGACTTAAAGTCCCAAGTTGATTCACAAGAAAAGTTAAATTTGGTGAAATTGGTGACTTTACAAAATCATTACGTCATTGCATTCCCAAATCAGGACTAAATGGTTTGATTGGTCAGTTCGAATGCAGTGTTTTGTAATACGACAGTGGGGCGCAGTTATGTGCATAACACGATACAGAGCGAATGACCCAGGTTTTTTCCCTATCCATTGTGTATGACGCGCGACGTGTGAATGAACGAAGACCCCATATAGAAAGCGCCTGCCGATTGGTCAAAATCTAGAGGTCAAAAGGCAGTTGTCTTGCCTAATTAATCAGTGAATCTGCTCACATGTAACAGACCACGGTGAATGCCATGGTCTATTACATAGACTACGCATGCAACATAAGCCAAGGTAATGTCTCCTAATCATGCTAATGAATCTTGGTGCTGGATCTTCAGCTAGCTAAAGAAGCCTTTACTACCAATTGCAATGTCATCATTGCCTTAAAGTCTGATGACTCGCACAAGAAATGACATACAATGGGTTGTACAGTTGAATACGTACAGAGACTTGGCTGCTTTCAGCTGATTCTTCTTGTACAGTTTCTGCTTGGGAGTCAGTGTATCAGTCGGTGCATGTTTCAATCCTTTCATGCGTTTAATGAAGACTCGTGGGTGGATGCCTTCCTCTTGAAGGAAGTACTTGAGTGTCTCTCTGGTCACACCAGGTGGCAGGTTTCCACAATAGAAAAAAATATCTTCTGTTGGATAATAACAAAGGCATGCACGTTGAACATGAAGAATTAATAATTTATAAGACGGAATTTTGCATCAGGGTGATGTAAATCAAATTAGGTTTTCCCTTCACCGGCGTATAAACACTGTATACTCAGTGTGTTACCTCCCGAACCCACGTCCTCCTGCTTTCTATTGCAGATGTCTTACCACTCAACCATCGAGCTAACAGGATTGGTTGGCTGGTTTGAATCTGATGTATATAGCAGGGGTTACCGGATTAAAAAGTCATAAGATGGAATTTTTGCGTCAGGGTGATGTAAAATCAAATTAGGATTTACAAACGGTAGTTTATAAAAAACGATAGTTTACAAAAAAGGAAGCAAACGACTGTGATGAAAAGGGAACGGCTGATGGAGTGAATACATTCCAAGTACACAAATGTACTGCAAGTATTGTACATGTGATCCACCTGGCGTGCTGGCAGTATTTAAACAGTTTGTCCCCCCCCCCCCAAAAAAGTTCTGCTTTTGATTTTCCTTACCTACCCTATTTTGACAGCCTCTACCCCAACTTTTTTTATGGGAAAATGAAAAAAAACACCCAAACCATAATACCCTAATTTTTTTATGGAAAAATGAGAAAAAACACCCGAACCATAATTTTTACGTTTTACCCTCATTTATATGCAGACGCCTTCATATGATAGTACGCAAAAAAAATTTGCCCCCCCCCCATGAAGTTCCCTATCTTCCTACCCTATTTCCAAATGCCATGTAATCATAAGCAGCACTATTTTTTTGCCTTTACATTTTTCAATTGACCTAACTAAAATAAAAAATAACCCCATGACGACCTTTGACCTAAAATGTCTGAAGTCATCTCAAGTTTTTCAACCTAAAGATTATTGTGTCACCAAGGTTGGCTGAGAGAAGTGAGCACTCAACTGATAAAGCAGTCACCTGATTTATTTTGCCTGCTGGGATGGCCTTGTTGAAATTGCCAGCCAGAGAGGGAGGGTTTTAAAATGACTGAGCTTTAAAGTGATCTGGCACTGGAATTGACAATACTCTGTCAACTCCTTAACCTTCCTTCTAAAAATGCTTGAATTCTGAGTGTTAAGCTTCTCCAATTATTTTTTGCATGGGAATGCATGCATGTTCCATTCTTCCAGCACAACTTAAACAACTCACCTATTTTAGGTGCCTTCTTCATGGGGATATCATTTTCTTGACGAGAAGCTTTCCTCTTCCTTGATTTCTGTTTGACACCAGATTGCTTCTTTCCTTCATTTGAATCTGCATGGGGTTGTTTTTTCACTGTTGTCTCTTCTTGTACCTGGTTGGTATCCATGGTGACATCAACTAGTTCCTGATTGGATACAGGACCCATTGAGACCTCATGTGACTTACTGTGTGCTTCCTGATTCCCTTTAGCACTCCTTGTCTTGCTCAACATTTGTACTGGTTTCTCTACACTAGTACCGGTAACGTTTGCCAGCTCAACTGAATCAGTCTTTGTCGATGCTTCAGCTTCCTTGATGTTTCCAGCTTTGAAGTTAAAACTAATCTCACCATCCTCACTATCATCCATCTCTTGGTTGACAAAGTTTACACCAGATTCCTTTTTCTTTAGAATCTTTCTCCTTAACTTGGTGTTACTATTCTTTTGTGATTGTTTGACTACAGGCTTTGTTACTGAAGGGGAGTTTTGTTCATCAGTATTCCCAGGGCTGTTTTTATTTCCAGAGATCCCCACATCTTTGAGTTCTTCAGGCGACTCGGATATCTTGGAGGACGTTTTATCCCTGCTTTGGTGACCTTCCTTCTTTTGTGCCTTTCTGTTTCCTGCTCTGGGCATCGTGATGACAGTTAAAACAACTGTTTCCTACACAAGCAAGAACCCTTGAAATAATAAACGCATACATATGTGCGATTTAGAAATTGCAAATTGATGGGTACATGTATAAATATATCACATATATCAAATCAAGTAAGGATGAAATCCATTTTACACTACTCGAATACAACATTTCTAGATTTAATAATGTCACTGATTCAAAACTTGCAAAGTCAATCTTTTCAATGTTGCATATCTGCAAGTTAAATGGCAAGAAGTAAGCTCATTGAAGGCCAGTTAGACTAACATTATATTGAAACGAATCACAATTGATGACAAAACTGCCGTCTGCCGCTTCATACCACAAATCAAGAGACAGATTTCACCACAAGGAATGTATCATAGCAGAGTTGTAAAATAAGCACAAAAAAAGAAGAAAACCATGCTTAGGTGAGTGAACTCCCATGACAAATATCAGGCCCACTTGCCTGATTTATGGCATACAGGTTCACTCACCAAAGCATTTAATTTTTGCATTCAGAGGAAATCAATCATTCAGGTGAAAAAAGAACCTAATTTCAGTAATTTTTGTTGTTGTCTACTCAGTATGGCCGATGCACAGACTTTAATACTAGTCTAGTACTAGTAAGTGGTCATTAAAGTACATTGTAAATGCAGTTCTAGGTAACATTCTGTCAATTCGGTGCCCAATTTCCGGACATTGCCTGGTGAGCACTTCACTCCCTCAGTAACGTAGCCCCACGAGTGTGGCCTCAGTATTGCTGCACAGCACATTCCGCCACACACCTGCGTTTCCATTTTTATACATACGGTTATTTGTATTCTATGTTTCAGCTTTCCTCCGGGTTGTTTAGTTGTCCTTAAATCCAATTTTTCGAGAAATTTAAGCATCTTTCTGGAGTCCATATGCATACATAACGTCTGTTGATGGCAGCCATTTTTAATATAATGACCCCAAAACTGTGACGTCACGTTAAATGCAAATCGATATTGTCTTTCTGACGGCTGTTTCTTTTACAATCTCTAAACCGATAGAAGCGCGCAACCAAACAGTCTGGGCAAATCCATTTTACAAGAAACAGCCGTGGCATTGCACCTTATGCACCTGATTGATAAGATCGATTTCCACAAACACAATGTCACAACTTTGAGGTCATTGCTTCTAACATTCAAATGGCTGCCATTACAGATGTTTTACGTGTGCATTACTCCAGAAACATTGCTTAAATTTCTTGAACAATTGGATATAAGGACACTTAAAGTAAAAAGAAAGAAATACTTCTGCTTCCGGTTACCCTACCAACCCTATTTTGACAACCCCTACCCTAATTTGTTTTGTGAAAAATGTGGGGAAAAAACCTGAAAACCATCATTTACTACCTTTTACCCTTGACTACAGGCAAACACCGCCATAGGATCTTAATACACAAAAAACAGCGCAGCAATACAGAGGCCATACTTGTGGGGTAGTTCAGTAAGGGAGTCCATCTGGACTAACTGACCACCATACTGAGGCTGAAAAAAATTAACAATGTACATGTAGCGGCTAGCCAGACTGGCTTTTGCCGTTGAGGGGGTCAACTTACCCTGGTGGGGCCCAGCCCCACCATGCCCCCTCCACCTTAATAATAATACTACTACTACCCGAGTCTCATGTTTCTACCAACAATTAAGTACTCAATGCGGTGGAAACTGGAAATTATGTCAATTATTAAAGAAAGGTAAATAAAGTTTATGAGAAATATGAGACCCATTATGTACAGTAGCACCTTTAAGGGTTACAAGGTGCTGCGGCGCATATTGCAGCCACTGCCAGAAACACCGGGGCAAACCCCTTCTCTTAGCGATAAGTGTTACTGGGTTCTTTAACGTGCATTACACAACACACGGGACCTACGGCTTTGCGTCCCGTCCAAGGGACAAAGCAATAATGGAAAAGTGCCTTGCTCCAGAGCACAAGCACCATGTTCCCAAGGTCAGGATTCGAACCCATGTTCCACGGCACATGAGTCAAACACCGCAACCATTGAACCACAGCACCCCACTGACGGGCGACGGGCCTGGCGTTACTCTCTCCCCCCCCCCCCCCACACTAAAAAGTGACGTAGCAATTTAGGTACCGATTTTGATCAAGATTATCTTCTCATCTACGCCTAGAACTATGGGTATTACACATAGTTCTAGGGGTACTTCTCATCCTCGACACAAATTCCAAAAGTTAGGGTAGGCCTACATAGTCATAGAGGAACCCGTAACTGTTCAAAAACACATTTCTTTATCTAGAAATCTTCATCTACATGTACATGTATGTGGCCAAGAAACGACGTTGGATGTGGTGTAGACCCACTAACTGGGGCCTGAAATCTTTGGAGCTCTATGAAGTACCCTGATGCAATACGCGGCTGCGGATGAAGAGCTCACATAAGAGAGCGTGCTTCACTGCAGAGAGTTCAAAGATATTTTGGAATGACATGCAACAGCCGCGGTGCATTTTGCCAAAGTTGACGCACGCTCAGTAGATAATTAAAGCTCTTGTCTGGTTCCCCGACCCTTGGCCTTTTGAGTTTTTACTATTATTAGGGTGGCCGGGAAACAGTCTGGTTAATATCAGAGACGCCATGCTTTTTCAAAACCATCTGAATTCTTTGCTGAATTACCATGATTTTATCTGGATATCTAGACCCCTGAAGGTATCGAATTGTGCTATTAAGTAGTCATACTATAGCTGGGTTGATTTTCTGCAGACAAAATAATTTCAATCTATTAATTGATTTTCGGCATCCCTAGCAACGGGACCATCAGTGCACAGGCTGTATGTGGCACTGTGACTCAATATACGGAGGTAGTCCAGTTTTTGAGTCACATTTATACTTAGCCCCAAATGTGGCCAGTTTACTGGACTGCCTCCGTAAACATAGGCCACACATCCGCCATCACTGAACCTACTCGGCGAAGTTTTCAAAGTGACTTCCACATTGCGACTTCAGACCCAGTTCATTTATGCTTTAAAAATACACTCACCCTCTTAATAACAAAGTTTGAACCTGCTTCCAGTGTCAGTTGCCCAGCTGCTACATAATTTACGATTATTACTGGAGCCTTCTTGGCAACTTTTTGGTCCAACTGAACAATAACGTCGCGCAATACCTGACGGGATACGAACCAATATGCAGGGATTGTGCACCTGTCAATCACACATGCACGAGGCACGCCGCAGGCCCGGTGGTAGTCTGGTTCCCAGACCAAAAGATTCTGACTATTCCTGATGAGGCCGTGTCCGAAACGGGCTTCAGAGCTACGGCTAGGTCTATTGTCAGCGCATTCTCACGTATTTTCAATGGGCGTGGACCTAGACCTACATTGTAGCTCTAGACAGTTGATTCGGATGTAGCTGGAGTTACCCAGCCCTGAGTTTTATCATTGGGTTCTCATTTAGGGCTGGAGCGAATTTTTCTCGAAAACGATAGTATAGGCAAAATTTTTTGGAAAATGTTCAATTTTGTCCCCGTTACACACTAATTGCAACTGCAACTCACCCCAAACTTGCCTGGAATAACCATTACACAGGTCCTTGAAGTAAAAAACAATCCACGATGAAGATTCAGCCTACAATTGCAGTGAAAACAGGAGGAATAACCGCTAACCTGACAATCTTGCTGGCATGGCCAGGACCGCAATTGGTTTGTGCACAAAAAAAAATTGTGTACAATGAATGGCGGTCGATTAACAGGCACAGAGAGCGATCGCTGTCAACTACTCGTTTTGCCGGCTGCGCTGGCTGTTGGCGCATGACGTCACGCGGAAGCGTAACACCCGTTGACTGATTCATGCACTAATATGAGGTTTACCACTCGCATCACAGCTTTGGTACTGGAACCGCAACCAATAGTGCATGAAACAGTCATCGGGTGTTACGCTTCCGCGTGACGTCATGCGCCAACAGCCAGTGCAGCCGGCAAAACGAGTAGTTGACAGCGATCGCTCTCTGTGCCTGTTAATCGACCGCCATTCATTGTACACAATTTTTTGTGTGCACAAACCAATTGCGGTCCTGGCCATGCCAGCAAGGTTGTCAGGTTAGCGGTTATTCCTCCTGTTTTCACTGCAATTGTAGGCTGAATCTTCATCGTGGATCGTTTTTTACTTCAAGGACCTGTGTAATGGTTATTCCAGGCAAGTTTGGGGTGAGTTGCAGTTGCAATTAGTGTGTAACGGGGACAAAATTGAACATTTTCCAAAAATGTTTGCCTATACTATCGTTTTCGAGAAAAACTCGCTCCAGCCCTAAATGACAACCCAATGATAAAACTCAGGGCTGGGTAACTCCAGCTAATTCGGATGCAGCCTTATTTAGACGTGAGCATCGGGAATAATTGTCAGGCCTGGGAACCAGACTACCACCGGGCCTGCGGCGTGCCTCATGCGCGCGTGATTGACAGGTGAACGATCCCTGCATATTGGTTTGTATCCCGTCAGGTATTGCGCGAGGCCATTGTTCAGTTGGACCGAAAAGTTGCCAAGAAGGCTCCAGAAAATATTGTAAATTACGCAGCAGCTGGGCAACCAGACTGGGACCGTGAGTGCATTAAAAAGGTGCAAAATTTTTACTCACCATTAGGCTAATTAATGCCCACACAACACATACATCAAAATGATAAAGTTGCAAGCATGTCATCTGCGAAATTTGAGACCTTAGGCAAAAAAAAAAAAAAAAACATGTTTAGCGTCCTGCCTCTTTGACAAAAAGGAAGGAGGACGCCCTTTTTTTTTTTTTTTTTCTTTTCAAAATGGCCGCCCGACACATTTTTCAAGACAATGCGGCCAGGCTATTTTTCAAGATGGTTACCAGCTTTTTTCAAAATGGCCGCCACTTGGACTCAGGAAATGACTTATTGGCTTCTTATGGGCAAGATGCAACGCTTTCGAGTCAACTCGTACCTTGGGCGACTCGTACCTTGGACAACTCGTACCTTGGACAACTCGTACCTTGGACAACTCGTACCTTGGACAACTCGTACCTTGGACATCTCGTACCTTGGATAACTCGTACCTTGGACAACTCGTACCTTCAATTAAGACGACTCGTACCATCAGAATAAAAAGTAGAGTACTGTACGTGCGCGACTTAGTGTGTGGTTCCTTGACTCCGAAACGATACGATTCTTTTCAAGTCAAAGTTAATTTCCTTCTCACAGAACCACATTCAAGATCTAATGGCTTTGTCAGGCAGCATTATTTTACGCATTGGGCCTGGCGGGCCGGTCTTCGAGGGCGCGAGCAGCGGTTGGTCGTGCGCGGTACCGATGCCGGTGACTCGGAAGTGGCCGGCGGGCAAGCTGCGCGGCGTGCGCGGCAGTGCCATTCTGTTTTTAATGGAATTACATGTACATGTACTTGGGGAGCACGGCAAGATCATAGTAACTTAAGTCCTATTCACAACGGCCGTTGACAAAAAAAAGGACCCCGTATAACGCTTCCACATTCTGCGCTCTCCAGTACCGATGCGGCGAGTTCAAAGCTTATGATGTTCTCATGCTGGGGCCTTTAGTTTAACAAGTACACCCAAAGTGTCGCTCATCTATTGAAGCGTCGCTCATCTATAGAAGTGTCACTCATCTATAGAAGTGTCACTCATCTATTGAATTTTATAGTGGAGAAACTTCAGATGCGGATTTGATGTGGTTTAATTATGCAATACAGCCCAACCACCGTAACATCCTGTTTCCAGAGCGAGCTTTATTAAACTCTATTAAAACCAACCGACAAAATTTATAAAAATCAAATTTAAACATTTAATGTGTCTAAATAAAGTAATTTCTGCGTTTTCTTGTGAAGTCTAATAACCAAAGTATACAAGAGCAGTCAGTACTTTTAAATGATTCAGTCCTTTCCTAGCTATAAGTCTGAAAGTCTCAAATGTAAAAAAAATTTCACAGTTGGTTTATTCATCAACTGGTTTATTCGAAACATTTACAAATTGGGGGCGGGGGTTTGGCCAGATGTTTCGTCATAGTCCGACTTGTTGAAATGAAATCGATGAACAGCAGACAAGCAATCGTCTCTTGAGCAGCGCAATGGTTCATCAGAAACCTGCAAGATCATCTGAAAAAAAAAATAGCGGTAAAACACATAGTTTTGGGATGAAAATATATCGATTCCGTAATACATGTATTTTTAAGTAGGCCTTAGGCTCTAAATGCCGTTGAAAAACGGCAAACTGGAACAATGTCACCGTGCACGGACGGTCCGACTTGTTAAAATGAAATCAATTAATAATGGTGGACTAGCAGCAATTGTCTTTCGAGCAGTGCAGTGGTTCATCAGAAAACCGCAGGTTCATCTGTAAAAAAAAAAAAAATTGCGGCGAACACATAGTTTAGGATGAAAATTAGTATTTCCTAACAAAATTGGAAATATTTGTCAGTCCAAGATTCACGTCTTATCATTTTTGCGGGAAAAAAAGAAAAAAGTAGTTCAGGCGATTTTAGGGATCAATAATAGGAAAAATGTTGCAACCTGACGCCACTTTTTTCTTCATATATATATATATCATCTCAATGATGGTCATTCATTGCAGAAATGATGGTAAGGTTGGTAAGGTAAGGTTTTATCTTGGATAAAAACATCAGTTCCATAATATTTTCACGTAGCCTAAAGTCTCTAAACGTAACGGCAGACTGCATCAATGTCACCGTGCACAGACGTCCATATTGACCGGTCAGCGCGGCGCAAGAACCGTGTCACTTTGCACGGATGCCGCGTGGGCCTGTGCATGCCGCGCACACAGTGCGTGTAAGCTGCCGCGGCCGGCTTCGCGCTAAATAAATTCCTCTTTTTTGGAAAAAGAGAGCCCATACCAAAAAGAGATTCACCTTTATTTTAATAAGCAGTCCACTTCCAATGAGTTACGGTCCACTTTATTCAGCCTCGGATCATTATCCAGATTGACGGTACGACTTGTCTTACGCGTGATGGTACGAGTCGTCTTAACTGAAGGTACGACTTGCCGAAGGTACGAGTTGTCCAAGGTACGACTCGGTATAATGACGTCGAGTTGAAGGTACGAGTTGTCCAAGGTACGAGTTGCCCAAGGTACGAGATGACCTGTTACCGATGCAACAGAAAATGAGACCAAAATGATGTAACAATGCAGAACCGAACATGTATGATTAGACTCTCGTGCAGACGCACGTGCTAATTGACTATTTCCACAGCTTTATGCACGGTATAAAAGTCTAAAAATACGATTTCTTTCGTCAGAGATCGTTAAAATTTATCAATTTTTGTCTTAAAAAAAAAAAAAAAAAAAAAAAAAGGAGGTGGCCTCTAAAAAGGAAGCGGGCGGGGACGCTAAACATGTTGTTTTTTTTACTTCGCCTTAAATCCAATTTTAAGGCAAGTTTTTGGCAGTTCAAAAACCATCCACGTCAATCTCCTAGTAGTTGTTTTTATTTAACACTAGATTTTATTTTCTTCTTCATAACCCGTACGCCGTAGCTTAGGAGGTTTTTTTTAAGGAAAAAATTATCCGAGAAAAAATTGATAGTCTGGTTCCAACGGCCAACGATTTTGACGTAGAATACAATAAGGTCTGGGAACCAGACAGTAACGGCCGCCGTAATGATTAGGCCATGTACCCCATGGCCTCCATGATTACCCCGAGAATTGTACTCTTCAGTCTTATTCTTAAAATAAGCCCTACAATTATTGTAAATATTGCAGTTACCTTGAATGTCTGTGAAGATCTTATTCTTCCGAATACTCTTCATACACTTACTGAAAATATCGATTTGAAACGCGTTCTTGAAGCTAATAATCAACTGTTTCGACTAAAAACTAGTAGTACTGGCTTTATGAATGCACTGCGCTGCATGCACGAACACGTGTTTATGCACAGCAAAATAGCATGCAAGCACCTGCGACTACGACAGTACCATTATTATTGCGCAAAAATCGCCGTCGGGATACCAGTCCATGGGGTGGAAGAAAGTGGGCAGAAACGTGGATACCAGTGACAAACAGCGCCACCTTATGGATGCAACCCTGCAAATAAATTCCCATAGACACTCGTGCTAAATGCCCACACTTCTAAATTCTTTTAAAAATACTCAGAACTCTCACAGGTATTCAAGCTGCACAGAAAAATGATGATCAACATGTCATCTTTCGTTTTCTTTTCATTTTTTGGTGGGTTGACCATTGACTTTTCGAGATATTCTCACCCAAAGAAGATGACCCCTATTTTCCCCAAAGCGGAAAAGTAGCTATCTAGAAAAACGATCCCTCCACAACATGGCAAAACTAGCGCCACTTTCGAGCCCAATAGCATCCAAAATGCTCAAAATTGGAAGCCCCAAGTCCGGGCCAGAGGTTCATTACAATATATCTTCAATTCCCCATTTTGCGGCGCTCAGAACTCTCTAATATATAGAATATTTTGAGGGTATAACTTGTATTCATGAGCTCGGCGGATGGATTTAGGCCTATTTACCGGTGTGCACCCTTATCAAACTTTTGGGCAACTAGTCAGTTTGCTCGTACCCCCCAAGCTTGCAAACATGACGTCAATATTACCGTTGTAAGTTTGGTGGTTTAGGGCCTTTGGGATGTTTAAAGCAGGATATTAGACGAGGAACCTCCCCTCGTAGGCTACTCCTAGGTGGGACATGCCCGACTACTTATGCTCAGTGGCGTCACCAGACTTTTCAGTCTGGGGGGGCACAGGGGGGGGGGGGGCACCAGCATTTGATGGGGGGACACTTAGGTGGATACGGATCGCCGTCCTGGGGGAGGGGTCTAAGGGGAGGGGGTGCCCCCCTCCCCTTTGGAAAATTTTCGCATACGGAGGATGGGCTAGATGCAAAATGGTGCCACATTTGATGCTAAATTAGATCTGAAGATATCTCAAGAAATTGCTATTTTCGAGGTTATGATTTTAACAACGCGCAGAATTTTTTTTTACCAACCCAAATCTCAGATGGGGGGGGGGGGGGGGCACTCGGGGGGGCACTAGGTTTTCCAGGGGGGGGGGGCACGTGCCCCCCCTGGCCCCCCCTTGGCGACGCCACTGCTTATGCTAACAGGCTCTCGTGGTTCTATGACATTGGTCGAGCAGTTAATAGCGAGTCGGCTGTTACCTTAGGACCCAGAGGTAAACTAGCGGGAAAGCTGTCGAAAGACATTGAACCCAAACCGGCGGACGAAGATTGCCTGGAGGGAGAACCCAATTAATGTCCCAAATCTAACACTCAAAAGGATCGTTGGTTGAAATCATGACCTTGGAAAAGCCCTCAAGGGAATAGAAGTACCATCCAGTACAAATGCCGCCACAAGCAGAGTAGCACCTGTACAAACCTCCAGCAATGCAATATGCCTCGTTGCAACACGAAAGTTTGCTATGTATCAACACGCAATGCAGGTCAGAACATACGGATTTCGGGTATGCCTGTTGAATGCATCTAGCCATACCAGAATGTCATAATGTGCTTGCTGGCCGGATGTATGGGCAACCGATACCAAGCGTATTCGCCGTGCTATATACGCTTGGTATCGGTTGCTTAACTATATCGCGTGAACAGATTTGCTGATTAATTAGGCAAGACCCCGCCTCTTGAGCTCCTAGATTTTGATCAATCAGCGGGCGCCCTCTATAGACCTATCGGGTCTTCACCCGTTGCGCGTCATAGACATGGAAAAAAATACTGACACGGCGCGCGCTCTGTATATCATTAAAAGCGAATGAGCTCCCGGCTGCACTGTTGTTATATTACAAAACACTAAATTTGACTTACTTGACCAATCAAAAGTTTTAGTCCTGATTAGGGAATGAAATGACGTCATGATTTAGTAAAGTCGACTCCGATTGGCTGGCGAGCGGCTTGCATAAATTTGCATGTCAGGAGATATCAGATGCTATTCAGATTATACCAAGCGCGGCCCGGCGGCGAAATATTGTTTTTCCCAAACGAGATCGGACAATGTCAAAAGAGGGCGCTCTCTCTGCGTAATGCATATATATGATGTCCAGGGCTTCGGAGAATAAGTTATACAATAAGAAATGATGGTGTTTAAATTACTGACGATTGACAGCTGATTCGTGGACTGGTTGGAAGTACATGTAGTCCTGCCTTCTAGTCAGGTGATCCGAGTTCGAATTCCAGTGAGCGTGTTTTTCTTTCACTTCTTCGAATTTTACCTTTGAAATAACTGAAGTGAGGAAGGAACATTTCTCACAAGACGTAAAGCCTATCTTGGATTTGTGTTGTGGAGAACAATACATTAGATGTGCATGTAATGGGCCAATCAGAGGATGGGAAACATATTTCGTTTGGGAAAAAACATAATTCGCGGCCGGCCGGTGTGTACTGCTGTAAATAGTCTGTGGTTAATGATTATTGTTGTAAAAGTTTTCTGTAACAACAGAGGGCGGTACTTATGCTTTTCACATGTATTGGCTGATTTGGCTCATGGGCTCATCCTAATGTACAGCCTATGCGCCCAGTATACATGTACGCATTATTACGATTACATACAAAAATGTTCCCGAGACCTGTATCATCACCAACACCACGAAGTAACACCCATCTACATACCAGTAAAAACTAGCAATTGGAGAAAAAGGCAACTAAGGCCAAAACAAAAAAGTCTCCGGTTTCTAGTATGCGCGCGCGTCGCCGTAGCCATGCGCGTCGGCAAAATGAAAAAGTTTTTTTTTCAATGAAAGATGATGTCTCAAAACCGCCAAACTCACTGGTTTGACTGGAATCCTGCTGCTGCACAATTGTAACGTGTTTTTAGATGGGGTTAAGATCGAGAATAAGATTTATGTGGCCTCTCTGGACTCCCAAATATTTGCACTAAGTTTAGTTGGGCACCATTTGCAGTCATCAGCCGACATTTGAAGCAAAAATGTCAGGAAAAAAAAAAGCCGCGTCGCCGCACCACTTTTTGGGCAAGCTCCGTACCAGAAACCGGAGACTTTTTTTTTTGGCCTAAAGTTGAACTCCTTCTAAAACAACACTTTGCGTCAAAACGAAAGAGTATTTTCAGTTGGGTTTCTCGTTGTGGACACTTGATGAATTGAATTTATTAAATCTGCTGTTTTTCACCCGTTTGTGTATTAAATAAACAAGAAATAAGAGAAAAAAGATGAGTGTTTATAGTTCGTGAAACAGAAAAAGCTGCGAAACTGTAAATTTTCGTTTTCACGAAGTAACACTCTTTAATGTATACAACACGAGGAAAGTAAAACTTCAGGTCAGCGCGCGCGCGCTCATACAACTTATTACAAGAAGAGTGTTACTTCGTGAAAACGTTTTTGCTCACTTATGAGCAGAGTGCGCGCCATGCATTGCAGTGGTAAATGGAACTTGAGTGTTACTTCGTAAAAACGAAAATTGTCACTTTTGCGCAAAAGTTGCCATGGATACTTAGCACAATTATTAAAGTAAAGCTCTTGAAGCTTTGAAACTTCGTGCAATGGTAGGCCTTGATGAATAATGTTTAAAAAAAAAAAAAAAATGAAAATCGAAAAAAATATGGTTTAACACGGTAGAGTGTTACTTCGTGCATGGTGTCGGTGACGGTATGTTGCAAAAACATGACTGGTCACACTTAGACTCTGATCTAGGTTTTTAGGAATTGTCAAATTGTTCCTGTCTTTCAATGTAATTATACGAAATGAGTTCTCTTGAGTTTAGATTCAGATTTCGTGTTATTTTTCTTCAAAATCCTCTAATGGATTCTTTCTTATGATGTTGCGAAATACGAGGTCTCTTAAAGCTTTGATCTTGGAAATTGTCAAGATATGTTTTTTTTTACGATGAAGTGAAATGCAATGAATTCTCTAAAACTCAGATTCCGCTTTAGTAACCGTTGAAATAGTGCCTTCCGTTTGTGGAAATTGGCAACACGTTTCTCCTTACCAGTAATTAATTTTTAAGAGTCCTCCGTTTTCAGTTGTTGAAAATTGTCTATAATCGGTATTCTTAGTAGGTCTCCGTCGGTCGAAAATGACCATGGGTGATGTATCCTAGTTTTCTGTCCTATTGGAGCAGCATCATCTGTGACTGTAGAGACCAATGCGAGAGTGGCAGTCTCTACCGCACAGGTCACATCTGTGGATGGTCCCAGCTCTGTCAGAGTTGCTGTGCTCCTTTCTGCGGGCCCGCTTGTCTTCCGCTGCACTCAGCAGTTTCTCTTCCCCTTTCTTGAGGTGTTAGTTCAGGGCACTTTTTCATCTCTTGCAGCAAACTGCAAGTCCCTCCCAGGAGTCAGGGTCGATGTCAAGGGCCTTCATGTCTCTCTTGCAGACATCTTTACTTGAGTTGCGGGCGGCTCTTGGTTAAATGTCCCAGTCGCCAATTCGCCATAGAGAATGTCTTTTGGAATGCGACCATCCTGCATGCGGTGAACGTGGCCCAACCAGCGCAGTCGGCGATGTCTTCGCAGGGTGTACATGCTAGGAAGGCCAGCGCGGGACAGAACTTCGACGTTTGTCACTCTGTCTTGCCAAGTTATGCCTAGAATGCGGCGAAGGCTTCTGAGATGGAAAGTGTTGAGTCTTCTCTCCTGTTTGGCATATGTTGTCCACGATTCGCTGCCGTAGAGCAGTATACTTACGAAACAGGCGTTGTACACTGCCATCTTGGTTTTCGTCGTCAGCTTGTCATTTCCCACACTCGTGCTGTTAGGCGAGCGAATGTAGTTGCTGCCTTCTCAATTCTCTTGTCAATGTCGGTGTCCAGGGAAAGGTTGTCGGTGATGGTGGACCAAACGTAGGTGAACTGATGGACAACGTCCAGTTCATAGTTGTCGATAGAGACAGCTGGCGGTGCCTCTATATTCTGTCCCAGGACGTTAGTCTTCTTTAGGCTGATGATCAGTCCAAAGTCCTTGCAGGCCTGGGAGAAGGAAGCGGTCCATCAGTGTCTAAAGCTCCTGCTGCGTG